GTGGTAGTCTATGCATATTTTATAAGACATCATAATAGAATTATATCTATGCATACAATTAAAAGCAATTTATACACAAACAATGACACTATTATCTATTAGATGTCTGTTATATCACATGTTCATTTTTCTTTCTTTTCTTCTTTGTGTTTTTTTAGAGACATGCATTTTTTAGACAGTTCTTTTCTTCCTCTGAATAGAAAATTAGCCCATCTTTCAGTTTGCTGAGTCAGTAGAGACCTCAGAAATCTTGGGATGACACAGAAATCAAAATAACCCCCTGAGAACAGAAGTGTATTTTAATTTTTTTGTTTGTTGATTTATTTATTTTGCTTTGGAGGCCACACCTAGTAGTGCTAGGGATTGCTCTTGGCTCTGCACTTAGGGATCATGGCTGGTGGTGCTTGTGGACTACAGAGACAATGTGGGGTGCTGGGGAATCAAACCATGTGCAAACAAGCAAGTACCCTTCCTGCTGGACTATGGCTTAGGCATAGAAACAGAAGTTTTTCATGACTGCCAGAGTCAAACCTCAGAATATGGGAGTTGATTCCTGCCAGACAGACATATCGATAGATTGGGGCATCCTGGAGTTTGATCTATTAACAATTTGCTCTGTAGACTCTCCTTGTATGTAAACTTGTCTTGGGCAGCAGGAAATATTGATGCAATAATTTCCCTTTTGTACCTCAGGTCTTACAACAGCACAGTGGCCTCACTTCACGCACGCAAACTCTGCCGGATCTGACACGCAGACACTCAACAGCTCAGCTGTGCTTACCACACTCAGTCCTGTTCCAAGCGAGAATGACACAGCAGGTTTGGGTTCATTAGATTTGTGTGACTAAGAAGAATGCATACAACTCTCTCTATCTGAGAAGGGGTTGAGGAAGCCCACCCAAACTCATTCAATGTGGATCATTTGTTAGTTGATGAACTTGAAATTTCATGCTTTGTAGCTAATTTCATACTTTCTGCATTACTTGTAATCTTGAAGGCCATAGAACAGGGTCCTCAGGATAGAGATGAAATAATAAATAGTGAGCATTGTGAGGCTACATAAATACCTGATGAGGAGAAAATAATTTTCTGACTCTCTAGGTTTCTTTATATTTTGGGTAAGTATCATTGTCCAGAAAAAACTTGGTTTTCCTGGAATTAGAAAACATCTATAAAATTGTTGCAAGACCTCCTACTAACAAAACATTGAAGAGTGAAAAAGAAGCGTTATCAGTGGGCACCAAGAAACTGTAACTGCTATTAAATTGCATTTGTTTATTTATTTCGGTTCTCATGGGGCTGGAGCAATAGCACAGCGGTAAGGCGTTTGCCTTACAAGCGGCCAACATGGCCGACCCGAGTTTGATTCCTCCACCCCTCTCGGAGAGCCCGGCAAGCTACCGAGAGTATCTCGCCCGCACGGTAGAGCCTGGCAAGCTATCCGTGACGTACTCAATATGCCAAACACACTAACAACAAGTCTCATGATGGAGACGTTACTGGGCCAACTCGAGCAAATCGATTTATTTATTTAGTTTTGCTTTTTGGGTCACACCCAGCGATGCACAGGGGTTACTCCTGGCTCATGCACTCAGGAATTACTCCTGGCGGTTGTCGGGGAACCATATGGGATGCTGGGGATCGAACCCGGGTGGGCCGCATGCAAGGCCAATGCCCTACCTGCTGTACTATTGCTCCAGCCCCTTAAATTGCTTTTAAAGAATAAGAAAAGAGAAACCATAGTTTACATCTTCCATCCTAACATCAAGATACGTTCAGTAGTGTTGTTGCATTTATGAAAGCAATGCAAAATATCCCCTCTGTGATGGTTGCCTGAACAGGCTCTAAAACACATCATGATGCACTTTTTTTTTTGTCCTGAAAAACACATATGCTTTGCAGTTTACAAAACCATGTGGGCACACACATAGCTTCAGTGGTCCAAGTGTCTGAAAGTTAAAGGTATAAACAGGGGTGGGGGTAGAACATAAAACTGACACTAAAGTGGCCTTGTTTGAAGTGTGATCAGGGTAGAAGTTCAAACATATCAGATAGAAAGATTATTAAGCTTTCAATATTGAAATGATTTTGATTTTTTTGGGCCACATCCTGTAGTACTCTGGGCTAACTCTTGGCTCTGTGGTCAGGGACCTCTCCTGGCTGGCTCGGGGAACTATGTGGGGTATTGAGGATCCAATCCAGGTCAGCCATGTGCAAAACAAGCACCTTGCTGGCACATTGTTCCGTCTCTTTAGTTTCCAAATTTATTCTGATAAAATAAGAATCATTACAAGCAGTCTACAAACTTTAAACAGCTAGGGGTGGTGGGGAGAGCTGACTCCCTCCCTATCTCATCCCACCCACTCCAGCTGCCATGGAAACCAACCTGGAAAGATCTGGAGCTTTTAGCATATCTACAAACTCTGAAGCTGTGGATGGGAAGGAGCTGTAAATTAGCTGAAGAGGACTAGCCTCTGGGGACAGATTGTCATCCAATCTGCTTTGGTCTCCTTTGCTCTGATCAAGAAAATCTTCTGATGGTGGCTAATTCCACTCATTAAAACCTTTTTGGACTAATTTTAGCACTAATTAACCTAAAATGGAAAATGTGGGTCTGAAACCATCATTGTAAATAGTCACACAACAAAAGGAAAGCAGTTTCCTTACAAAAGGCAAAGTTAGAGAGTTTGGGGAGGGAAAAGAGAGCTTTCAGCACCACCAGAGGATAAGGGATTTGTGGGAGAGTAGAGGATGATAAGACACTAGAAAAGAATGGGGAAGAAGAAGAAACACAAATCTGGCTTTACATAGAGCTGCGCCTCCTTCAAAATTACTGGAAACAAAATCAGCCCTCCTGTTCTGCTCTGCGTATTGCTGTCTGCTTTGGAGGATCTAGAGTTGCTGCTGCCCAGCCAGAACTGAAGAAACGTTAATCATTCTATTTGATGCTTAAAATCTGGAGTTTAGTGGTTTTGGAAGACTGAGCTAAGCACTCAAACAAATTTGGAGAATTTGCATTTTCAATTCTAATTGTGTGTGTGTGTGTGTTTATTGTATCCTACTAGTAACTGGGGGATTGTGTGTTAACATGAAAGCATTTTAGAGAGTGGTTGCATGCATTGCTGATGAAACATGGACTCTATCTGCCAAAGAAAGACTAATCTTCTGTCATTGAATTGATGGTTCTAAAGATTTGGACAATAAAATAGCGAAATCAAATCAAATCAAATAGAAACTAGCTCTTGTTTATTCTGCTTTGGCAAAATAAGAAGCATAGTGCTTGGCATCTGCTAGACAACCCCTCTCCCCCCAAAAAGTATTGGTTTCCTGGGCTGTGATTCTGTGATTTTATCAATGTCTGAGAATAGGCATTGAAGCTTGAAAATGCAAAGTCCTAACTGAAGCCAATATGCATGCTCTTTGACTACAGGGCTTGATCCTATACCTATTAGTTCATGTGTAATTGAAAAACAAAGTAATTGTGTTAGCATAATGTGGGATTTCTTTGATTCCCAGCTAATTTTATTTTCTCTTAGAGAAATAGAGGAGCCCTATGCAATTTAAAACAGAATTGCTATCTTCATCTGGAAAGGAAAAAAAAAAACAAACCACAAGCTCCTAGCTTCCCATTCAAGTCTATTTTAAGAAAATTAGAAGCACCTGCACCCAGGGAGTTTTCCCCACAGAGATGCTCATCAGGGGAGGCTCTCACCATATGGAGTCACTTCACATGCCCTATGCACTCAGAACCCCACTTGCACCCCCACCTCCACCCCATCCCCAGGGGTCTTAGCATCTGCCAGTTTGAGAGTTACTCCTCTGCTACATTTGCAATCTTCTCTGAAAGAGTCTTTAATCTTGGAGAGTTGGCCTCCCTGGTCTGCCTAAGCTCTCTCTTGAGATCCAGACTCTTACAGTTCTTTGTTCTGATTACGGAGCAGCACAGGTTTTGAGTTGCTGGCACTTCCAATCCTGTCTGCCATAAAATTTGCTCTGCCTAAAATTTCATGCATCTCAGATGATGGTGTCATAGAAGGCTTGGCTTAGCTCTAGCAACCCAGTTCACAGGTACTGTCTGGCTGTTCCTGGCACTGCAGGAATGGCAGTATTAGCGGCCTTCCTTATTTCAGGAGGTCAGAAGGAAGGAAAGTATACCAAAGTTTCCCTGCAAACATGGCTTTCACAGCTGTTGGTCCCCTCAGCCCCACACACACAGCAGTTCTGCTGCCTGACCTGCTTGCATCTCCAACGTGCTCACCAAAGTCAGTGCTTCAGGTTTGATGGTGGGTCTCTAGGTGTCTTAGGTACTGGGTAATAACTTGAAACTACTGTAACTTTTAAATTTTACACCAAATACTGCTTGAAAGCTTTCTGTTTGGCACCATTTGAGGCATTTATTCTAAATTAATAAAAACATGCTTCCTAAAATAAGCTCCCCCCATATATTGTACATTATTGGTCATATTTTTAAGGCTAAATGTAAAAGATTCATCTAGCTCTGGGATCAGATCTAGCCAGTTTAACTTTCTAGCTGAGTTTTGCTCCAGGGACCAATGCTTTCTTGGTATCAGTTTTACCTTCTGGCAAATGGATATTCAGCTACTCATTTTGTGGGAGTACTGTGAGGCATGGTTATGCAAAAAAAAAAGTCTCATGTGCAATAAAATATTACACAACAGCAATTATATCCTTATGAGTAAAAGTCAATGGGGGAGAATAGCACTTCAGAAGGGATGGAGTTTGAGGAGGCATGCCTCCCAGGTAAGAATGACATCAAATCTTCTTGAGCCTTAGACTATGTCTAGCTTCAACTTATTTGAATGATGTGTTTTTCTGAACAGTGATTCCTAGATAAACTCTTTCTTAAAGACCAGTGTGCTTTCAAATGAGAACACCTATGATAAAGTTTCAGTTAGGAAATGATCTTTGTTCAGGAGTGTTTTCTTTTTGCCCTCCCAATGACCAGCTCAATAACTTTCATTCTGTTCATTTCCTTGCAGATAACTCCATTGCACCATCCACTCCAAGCCCTGCAGAAAGCATTGTCACTCCAAACGCTTCCACAACAATAGGTGACAACCTTACCCTCAGTCATGCAATCATACCACCAACACTGCCTGCTATGTGGTCACAGATGGATCTTCCCTTTGCTTTTCTCTTTGAGCCTTCTCAAAAAAGGAAAGGCTCCATTCTTTGAGAAATTCTACTGTGTGTTCAAATATAGAAAGTCACAGGATGGGGCCAATCAAAAATGCTTATCTGTGTTAGCAATATGATGGCTACTGGAGCCAGCCATAATGTTGCCAGCATGAGGAACCTATCATATTGTAGTGGCACTCCACTAAAGAGAGATGTTTGATGAAACTGCATAGAGAAATAATTAAATAGACCAGGACCTCTCGCTTGAAGAGTACGTTTAGATATTCGTATAAAAGAGAAGTGTTCTATCAAGGAACTGTCCATTACAAGTGTGAGCAGGAGAGGAGTGGATTAGCAGAGACTCGGCAAGCTGGGCCATGGCAGCAAAGGCAAAGTGCCATGAGAGAGAGAAAAAAATGACTCAGGCAATTGACCATATTTGTTAGTGGTTCAGCCCTTCAGGCCCTAATTTTTTCAATGCAAAGCAAAAGACTAGTAGACATCTCTTAGAAAGTACATTTCCAACCTGTTCTTTGGTTCTTCTGTGTTTCTCTAATGCATATCTTGATTTGTGGAAAGCATAAGTATCCAGGAGCCGAAACGGTTGCAAAGAATTTAAGTTGAATTAGAGAGTGACACAGTCCTTGCTTATTTTCTGAACATTTTAAAAGAAAATAATATGCTGAATTCTCTAAGGGGTTACAGTGATATGAATTGTTTTGATATGAGTTAAGGAATACAGAACACTTGGTACATTTTGGTTGTGTTGAGTCAACCATGTAGCCATGCCATAGTCAGACATGTGCCAGACAATCTTGGTGCTTTTTGGATAAATGCATGAATGAGTTTGAGAGCACTGGCTCATTAGGTCATTAGCTTTGAAGAACAAAACACAGCAGAGGAGGAACTGTGCTAGCTGCAAAAATGTAGCTGGATAAACGTCACTGTTTACGAAACTCAAACCTTGTGAACCACAGCAAAAATATTCCAAAATCAAATTTCAAGACTGATTTTTCTTTACAGCCTCTTCTGTACTTCCTTCTCCAACTCCGGAACAGTCCTGTGATGGTAAGTTTTTTTTACCTAGATTCCAATGTCTTTGGCTTTAGAATCATGTTTTCTTATTTGGTCTAATCTCCCAGGACCCACTAACATGTCAAACTTGCTAACTCTGATTTCGTACTGATGAGTAGCCAAGAATCTTAAGAGTTAGCATCCTCCAGGGGTCAAAACATTATATTCAGAACAAATTTAGAGTCCTGAGATTAATAATTAATAGTTCATCACCCTTAGTGAACCAATTGGTCTTCAGTTTAAATATCTAGAAACTAAAATGATAGCATTCTGTTTTTCCAGGGAGGGAAGTGAGGATTCAGAGTAATGACAGATGTAAAATGTGGATAAGATCTTCATCAAGGAGAAAGTCCCCTCCATCTCTATTCTTCCTTATTTTTTGGTAGTGCTAGGATGGACTCCAGGACCTCATGCATGGGGGGATGGGTTGAAGGAGATGAGCCCTACCACTGAGCCCAACCCTAGTTCCTCACTCTCTTGCTAGAGCTTGGCTAAAAACAGGTGTTTGCAGACCTTTGGAAACTATTTCATTTTCCCATTGTCTACCTCTTTCCTCCATGGAAGCTGAGTCCCTATTGTACAGGTTCATCCCTCTGTACTTTCTAAATCTCCCTGCCGAGGTCCTGTGTTCAGTAGCTCTCTAGACATATCTTCTTCCATATGTCGGTTTAGTTAATCTTTTCTGATCAGCTTTCCCTGACTGTTTTCTGTCTTGCTCTCTTTGCTTAATATGGAATGCCCTCTTTATTTTCCCTCTTTACTTAATATGGAATGATGTACTAACTTCAAAAGATATCACCACTCTTACTGTGTGATTTTTCTCTTCTCTTCTTCTGCTACTCTGGGAATTCTTCTCCACCCAATCCAGCACTCTTCCCACCCACTCCCACCCTACCATTGGGTTTTTAAGTCCTGATCATATTTTAATGTATTTTTCCCTTCTTTTGTGATCATCATTATTGTGATAAATAGTGGACACACACTTGGTTGCTGCAGTAATCTGAAGATCTCACACTTCTTTTTGTTATGGCATTTGGGTTCACAATAGCAGTACCACTGGCATGTCACTTAATGTGTGGGCCAGAGCAATGATCAAATTCAAATCCTTGCAACTAAACTGCATCTCCGGATCTATTGTCTATATTTGAAACACAAACTGCACAAATCCTTCGTACTCCAACTCTCGCCCCAATTCTGAAAAGATAATCTCTTTTTATTTCCATATCATTGTGTATAATCTTGTTTTCATTGTTTGCATATCTTCAACAATACATATCTGTTGAAATTTTTTTAAGCAGTCAACAAAATTTGTCTAAATATAGGCAAGAGTGTAAGATGGCAGTAAAAAAAAGTGCTTAGCAGAGTTTCATAAACTTTTGATATAGGTTAAGTAACCATAAAAACTGTGCTATCCAAATAGTAATTTTCCACATATTGGGTGTAAAAAACTAAGCACGCAGAAGGTTGTGTGTTTGCAGGCTCTCTGGACAGCTCTATCTCACCGCCCCCCACCCCCGTTCGGTGCCCTAGAGCCGCTGTGTGTGGCCTGGATCAGGATGGCTTGTTGTCCAAGGGCAGAAGAAGAAAGAGATGAGGGCCAGGCCAGTCGATCTTTGTAGCAGTTTATTACTAGGAAGTTTATCCCATAGAAGAAATGTTACGGAGGGCCTAGGTTCTCTCAAGCACATGTTCTCCTTGCTAGTCTCTCCGTGGTCCATCTTGCAGCCCTGCTCTCTCTTTCTCCAGCTCCCTTGTCTCTCCACCCTCTTGTCTCCAACTCAAATCAAGTCCTGGCTGACACTCTACCCAGTCAAATCAACATAAGAAAGCCCTTCCTGACTGCCCCAGGCAAAATACCTCCTTAAGGTGTTTTTCTCTTTTCCTCAGTCCAATAAACTATCAACTATCAACTATTCCTGAGGCTATGAAGGAAGAACAGAACAGTGTTATCCTACAATTGGGAAAAACAGAAAAATGAAAATTGCATTTTAGAATACATGCAAATCATTTATTGAAATGTGAAACTTTATTTAATGACAAAATTATTTTATTGTATTCAAAGTTACAAGGGTAAAAAGTGCTATCATTTATGTTGTTGGTATGCAGTTACTATACTTCACCACCAGCAAAGCACTGAAGACCTTCATCACTGTCCTTATGTCACTTCTGGTTCATCTCCTTCACCTCTCCAAGCCCTCTTCCACCATAATCACTTGGTAGCCTCAGTTTTTGTAGCAAAAGACCAAGTGTTTCTTATCATTAGATATCCCCTATTACCCTTCTTCCTTTCTTAAAACATATCAGTGAGATTATCTGCTATTTGTTCTTTATTTTCTGACTTATTTTACTTTACATGATATTCTGTGATTCCATTCACATTTAGCACAAGGCAAGATTTTATCTTTTGTATAGCTGCACAGAATTCCACTGTGTATATATGCTACAATTTCTTTTCTTTTTTTTTTTTTTTGAATGTAGGAGTACTGCTATTTATTCAGCCACTGGTTAGCTGAGTGAATTGGGCATGAATTCCACCTTACTTTTTTTTTCGTAATTTTATTTTTTTTTCTTCTTATATTTATTTATTGAATCACTGTGGAAAAAGTTACAAAGCTTTCAGGTTTAAGTCTCGGTCATACAATGATCAAACACCTTTCCCTTCACCAGTACTCATTTTTTACCACCAAGAACTCCAATATTCCCCCCTCCCACCCCTTCCAATGCCTGTGAGGAAGATGATTTCTACTTAACTCTTCTCTACATTGATTACATTCATTATTTTGACAAAAGATGCACCATTATTGTTTAGAATTTTCCCTTCAACAATCAGAATTGCTGAAAAGGCATTGTAAAATACTTCGTTTACTATAGCTGGTTATGAGAATCATATAATGTTATGGGGCTGCAATAGCAGCCGTGCGATTTTGGATTTCTGCAAAGAGCCAGATAATTATGGGATTGGTTTCTGTGCGTATGGTATTATGGCCATGCCGGAGAGCCACTCATGGAGGGCAACTCATGACCTCAGTAGGGCGTGAAGGATGAGCCAGTACTACCCCTCTTCCCATGAGACTACAGTTGCCCCGTCACTGCTTGCTCATACCTGACCTTCCAATAAGCTCTGAGGCGGCGACCACCTTGTCTGCGGTCCAGATACATTTCTGCCAAAAGCCACTGGGTTTTGAAATTTGTTTCTGAGTCTCTGGGATCATGGCCATTAATCAGCTTGATCAGGAGCCAGAGAGGCTGTTTGTAGGCATCGACTCAAGGTCTCATTGGGATGAGGAGGAAAGGGCTGGTTCCACCCCCATCTGGTGAGGCCCTGCGTGTCTTGTCACTGCAGGCCCAAACCTGACTGTCCAGTGGCCTCTGGAGGATGGCGGTTACCAGGCTGCCAAGGGGAACAGGCCAAGTCACGAAACCTATTCCCACCTGGCATGGCCCAGCCCCAGTAATCTACTGCAGGAACAGGACGCATTTCTGCCAAAAGCCTTTGGGTTCTGCAATTCATTTCTGAGTCTCTGCGATCATGGCCATTAAGCAGTTGGATCAGGAACCAGAGAGGCCATGCCTCCAGTTATATAGCTGAGCCGGAGGTGGTTTGTGGGTGTGTCTCCCACAAACCTAACTTTTGGCCGTTTACTTTCTTGGTACACTTTGCCCCAAGTTTTTGGGGTCTGGCCAAGGCACAGCAGCAATTTTGGGGTATCTAAAAGTCTGATGGTGCCATCAGGCTGCTGATGCACTCGCCTCACAGGTACAGATTGACCTGCTGGCGGCACCATACCCCGGCTACAATTTATTTATCTTTCTTTTGACATTTGGGTAGTTTCCATATATTAGCTATCATTTTTAGCACAGCCGTGAATATAGGTGTGCATATGTCTTCTCAAGTTAGTGATTTTCAGATTTTGAAAAAATGCCCAGAAGTAAAACTGCTAAGTCATATGGCAGATTTATTTTTAATAATTTCGGAAGTCTTTCCCATTTTACATAGAGGCTGAACCAGATGGCATTCCACCAATAGTGAAGGAAGGGTTCTTTTTGATCCTTTTTCTGATGACATTGGTTGTTTCAGTCTTTTTGATAAATGTTATTCTCATTGATGTGAGACTATATCTCATTGTCATTTTGATTTGTGTTTCTCTGGTAATAAATCATGATGTATACTCTTTTGTATTTCTTCTGGACATCTATACATCTCAAAGGAAATGTCTGTCATCTTCTCTCTCCATTTTTTTGACGGACCACTGTTCCTTTTATTGTTGAACTTTGTTCATGCTTTACATATACATAACCAAGGCTATTAGTACTTTATCTGATAAGTGGTGTCAAAGATTTTTATGCCATTCAATAAAGTATTTTTTAAAAAATAATCTGTATTTCTTTCACCCTGCAAAATCTTTAGTTGGAATAGTGTTATTTGTTTTTTTGTTATTGTTTTCTCTTTTGGAAGTCAAATCTTCGAAGACACCACTGAGGCCCCTATCCTGGCAATATTGTTCTCAATGTATTTTAGATATTCTGGCCTAATTCTGAGGTAATTAATCCACTTTGAATTAACTTTAGTGTGAAGTCTGAGATAGAGCTTTAGTTTCTTCTCTTTTCATGTGAATATCCAGTTTTCTTAACGCCATTTGTTGAAGAGGTGTTCCTTTAGCCACTTTATGCATCTTTTCTTTCGTTGGAGATTAAGTGCCCCCCTTTTTTTGACGTTTTATCTCTGTGCTCTCAATTCTATTCCACAAGTCTGAGAGACTACTGTTATTTTTAATGGGGATTATATTACATATTTATACTAGTTTGAGGGCTGGAGCAATAGCACAGAGGGTAGGGCCTTTGCCTTGCATACGGCCGACACGGCCAATCCGAAATCAACCCTAGTTTGAATCCTCCGCCCCTTTCGGAGAGCCTGGCAAGCTACTGAGAGTATCTCACCCACATGGCAAAGCCTGGCAAGCTACTCGTGACATATTTGATATGCCAAACACAGTAACAAGTCTCACAATGTTACTGGGCCCACTCAAGTAAATCGATGAATAATGGGAGGACAGTGACAGTGACAGTGATACTAGTTTGGAGAGTTTGGTCGTTTTGAAAATATTTTTCCAATACATGGACATGGAAGAGTTTTCCATTTCCTAATGTTATCATCACGCCGTTTTCGACACTGGAGAAGAACTGTTCCTTGGAACATGTGACAAAAGAGGCGTCAGGGGTGTCGGTATCCTTGTCAACACAAACTTAGCCATGAGCATTGATTCATTCAAATGCCTAACAACCCAAATCGGACGATTACACTTGAATAGATGTGGCTCACTGCCGGCAGTTTCTATCTTTGTTGTCTATGCACCAACATCCAATTATGGTGAAAGAGAAATTGCGAAGTTCTACATGGAGCTGGAGAAGTTCTATAAAGAAGATCACACCTTCTACAAGATCACTGTCGGTGATTTTAATGCCAAGATAGGACCAAGAAGATTAGCCGATGAACTCCACATCGGGACCCATGGCCTAGAATGGAATGAACAGGGTGACAGACTGTCTGAGTTCATCATGTCAACCAAGACCTTCCATGGTAACTCACAGTTCCAAAAGGCTGAATCTAAACATTGGACATGGGAGTCTCCCGGTGGACTGTTCCACAATGAAATAGACCACATCATATTCAATTGGTGATTTTGCCTAACTGATATTGCTGTTGTCCCAAAATTCCAAACGGGATTGGACCACCGTCTCCTTCGTGCAAAATTCTATCTCATAGAATGAGGAGAAAAGAATGCGACGTTTAAGAAGAGAACTCCCAGAATGACCACCAACTGGAGCTCTTTGGCTCTGTTGCAGCAACATGGGAAGATGCCGTCAATGACAACATTGATGAGGAATACGATCGAGTGATTCAACACCTCCATGATTGTGCAAGGAATGCCAAGAAAGAGATAACCACAGAAAACCGTCTTTCTTTGAACACTCTTGAACTTGTTCGCCAACGTGGCTTGGCACATGCCTCAGGCAACTGCAAGCGAATGTCCAAGCTGGCAAAACAATGCAGAGAAGCCATCAAGGATGACCTCAAAGACAGGAGAGCAGCAGTGCTGGTAGATGTGGCAGAAGCCGGGAAGAGCATTCGTAATGCCCACCTGTCCTTCACCAACTACAAGACCAAGATGACTGCCCTCGACAACCTGTTGGATCTGCCACATCTTCCAGAAGGACAATGGAGAAGATTATTCATGACTTCTACTCAGATCTCTTTAATAGCCATGTCCAGTTGCCCATATACCACATTCTGCATGATGGATATGTCGTTCCCAATGTTCTCCCTTCCAAAATCCAACATGCCATCTCGTCGGTAAAGAAACAAAGAGCACCTGGCCCAGAAAAGATCAGACTTGAACACCTGAAGAACCTACCATCAGTACTCACCAATACACTGGCTCGGCTCTTCACATGCTACCTGTCTGAATGCAAGGTTCTATCCCAATGGAAAACAAGCAGGACTGTACTACTATACAAGAAGGGAGACATCCACGACATTGGCTACTATCGCCCAATCTGTCTATTGTCTGTCATCTACACACTGTTCACTTGAGTCATCCTGAATAGGATTAGCAGAACACTAGACGAAGGACAACCATGTGAACAAGCCGGATTCCGAAAAGGATTCAGTACCATCGACCATATCCACAAGATTACTAAGCTCATTGAGGTTTCTTAGGAGTTCGAGATGCCGCTCTAACATTCATTGATTTAAAGAAGGCCTTTGATTCTGTTGAGACGGAAGCAGTCATAGAAGCCCTAGCTAATCAGGGTGTACAAACTCAATACATCAGGATCCTTCGTGAGTTCTATTACGGATTCACTACCAGGATCTCACCATTCTACAAAGAAGCAATCATCCATGTCAAGAGAGGGGTTCGGCAGAGTGATACCATTTCACCAAAACTCTTCAGTGCCACCCTCAAGAACATCATGCCACAACTGGAATGGGAAGGAATGAGAGTGAAGATAGATGATTGGCAACTACACCACCTCCGCTTTGCTGATGACATCATTCTAATAAAACCAAACATCAGCCAAGTGGCACAAATGCTGACCGACTTGGACCATGAGTGTGGAAAGGTCGGACTACAGCTGAATCTTACGAAGACAATGTTTATGAGAAACAGCCTTGTTCCTGACACTCCATTCACTCTCAATGGAACCACCATCTCCGAATGCAACAGTTATATATACCTAGGTCGGGAAATCAACATGATGAATGACCTGGCACCTGAGTTGCGCAGGAGGAAGAGAGCAGCTTGAAATGCCTTCAAGAGCATTGAAGAAATAACTAAGAGGACAAAGAACCTCCAGCTACGAGCACATCTCTTCGATTACACTGTTCTTCCTGCATTAACATATGCCTCAGAGACCTGGGCCCTACGAAAACAGGATGAGAACACTATTCAGGTCTCTCAAAGAGGAATCAAAAGAGTTATGCTTGGCATATCACGATTCACTCAAATGAGAGATAGAATCCGGAGTTCTGATCTCCGTCAACGCTCAAGAATCAGGGATGCTGTCTCATTTGCCAAGGCATCAAAAATCAGATGGGCTGGACACGTAATGAGGTTTACAGACAACCGCTGGACTAGAGCCATTACTGACTGGATTCCACGGGATGTCAAAAGATCACGTGGATGCCCACTTACAAGATGGTCAGACTTCTTTGTCAAGACCCTGAATGATCGGTTTGAGGCTCTGCATGTTCCTAGAACGAACAGATGCCACTGGGCTAGCTAGCACGCAACAGGGATGAATGGAGACGTTACTGGTACCCGCTCGCGTAAATCGATGAATAATGGAGGATCAAGTGATCAAGTGATCATGTGAATGCTATCATTTATTCTTTTAATAGTGACACCTTTTTGATGTATATCTTTCATATCTTTTGTGGATCCTTGGCATTTGATATTTAGGAGCTTTATTTTAACTGAGGTTATTTGCTTGGTTTTGTTCACTTCAATTATTTATTTGCACAGGGAAGTGCAACATATTTTTTGCATATTAATTTGTTTAGCCCTCTATTTTGTTAAAATTTTTTATTGTTACTAAAAAAATTTAGTGGATTCTTTAAGGTCTTCTGTGTATATTATGATGTCATCTGCATAGCTTTAACTTCTTTACTTCTTTTACAATTTGGATTCCTTTGATTTATTCTTCATAATTGTAATCAGGACTTCCATAACAATACTGAATAATAATGAAGAACATCCATACCGAATGCCTAATTTCAGAAGGTGTGACGGTTTTTTGTTTTGTTTTGTTTGCAATTGAGTATGATGTTCGCTGTTAGTTTGTTGTGTTCTGCCTTTATTACGATCCAGTTTTTTCCTTCTATGTCTTTTTTTGTTAAAATGTTTTTCATAAATAGTTATTCAATCTTGTCAAAAATCTTTCTCTGCATTTGTTTATGAAATAATATCAGTTATTTTATTCTTTTTAGATACAGTGTGATAATTCATTGATTTGTGTATAACAAACTATTCCCACAACCCTAGAATAAATTCCACTTGATCATTATATATAATATTTGTGGTATTTGTTGGATTAGTTCACTAAGATTTGGTTCTTAGAATCTTTGCATTCATGTTCATCAGGGATATCAGCCTGTTATTGTCTCTTTTAGTAATATCTTTCTCTGCTTTTGGTATTAAGTAGTGTTGGCTTCACAGAAGGATCCATTTTTTCAATATTTTGGAAGAGCTTAAGGAACATAAGTAACAAGTCTTATTTGAAAGATTGATATCAGTCACTAATGAACCCCTATATACCAGAACTACTTTCATTCTGGGGAGATATTTTCTCAATATATAAATTTCCTTTCTAAAAATAGATCTGTTCGTGTTTTCTACTTCTTCCTAATCTAGTCTCAGGAAGGTGTGTGATTCTTGAAAGTCATCTCTTTCTTCAAGGTTCTCCAACTTAGGGTCTTAAAGGTGTTCACAGTACCATCTTACGGCCTTTTATATTTCTGAGTCTGCTGTAATTTGTTCCCTTTCATCTCTGATCTGGTTTATTGCAGTTTTCTCTCTTTTTATTACTCATGAGTCTTGCTAAGGTTTTTGTCTATATGGTTTTCCTTTTTCTTTTTTTGCTTTTTGGGTCACAACCAGCGATGCTCCTGGCTCTGCACTTGAGAATTACTCCCCTGGTGGTGCTTGGGGGACCATATGGGATGCTGGGAATTGAACCAGGGTCGGCCGCGTGCAAGGCAAACAGCCTAACCACTATGATATTGCTCCAGCCCCTATGGTTTATTCTTACAAAAAACAAAATAAGGATCAAAGTTTGCTTACTCTTTGTATTTTTCATTGTACCTATATAATTTCTTTGAGCATTAACTCTGATAAGTAATTATTGATCTCTTATCAATAACTCTTAGTTGATTCTTGGTAATGACCAAATAGATTGAACTTTATTGTCATGTCATTGACACTCCACTTAAGAAGGCAAACTTTAATCCAATAATCATCTAACATTAAATTTGGAAACTGTAGCCATTTATACAGCAGTCGTTTAAAGAGAAGTAAGATTAGTATGTTACATATTCCTTCTATTTCCATGCCCTTGTGATTGTTGTTTAGAGATAGGATTCTTTTCAAGTTTTATGATTACATATTTTTAATCTAGTTTATTTATTATGAAAAAAATTTCAAAAGGTAAGCCTTACCCTTGTGTTTTATTTCAGATGACAAACTTGCAAATATCTCTGTGAACTACACATATGTTGATGGAAGTAAACCTTTTACTGCCAGACTACAAGTTAATGAAAACCTGACTTGTGACGGTACACCCTGTGAAAATTACACAATCCAAAATCTCATAGAATGCCAAAGATACAATATTACTATAACTAATGGGACATGTAATTATACCTTTCAATTATATGTACCACCAGGTAAATGTTCATTGATTTATTTATACAAAATGGGAGATTTCATATGCAGTGTTACTGGATTTGTCTAGTTAGTGAACAGGATTGAAGGAAGAGGTGAGCAAGACAGAACAAGGTGCTCTTTTTGCTCTTCTAACTATGGGGAATTATCTACTCATAAAAGCCTTCTATCCCATTTCCTTTCTTTTCATATCTTTGCCTGAGTAGTTCATGCAAATTCAAGTTATGCCACTCAATGATTTTTTTCCACAAGCTTTCTTTTTCGCTTCTCTGTGAAATTTATGTCCATAAGTAGATGTAGAAAGTATTGAGAAGAAATAGTAAAGAACTTGATGCCTGCGGAAAGAACAAAAATGCTTTCACCCCAAATAGGAAATCTATGATGCTGAAAGTTTAATGGGACCATCTTAGCTTCTGCAGAGAGAAGGCAGAAAGGAAGGCAGGAAGCAGGAAGGCAGGAAGGGAGGGAGGGAGGGAGGGAGGGAGGGAGGAAGAGGGGCAGGAAGGAAGAGAGGGAAACAGGAAGGAAGGGAGGCAGGAAGGAAGGAAGAAAGGAAGGAAGGATAGAAAAAAATAATAGCTTCTAAACAGTTTAGAAGACTTTGTTTTAGAGAGGTAAATTCAGGGCTCGTGAGTCTCTTGCATTATTGAATAAGTTCAAGATCATTGATTGATTTAGAAACATTTAAACAGATTAAAGTCTAGTGGTATTTTAAATGTCATTTGACATTCATTTTCTATAAATTTACTGATATAAGTTGCGAAGTAAAAAGAAAAATTGCAGTAAAAAAGCAGAATAATGAAAAACAGTATCAAGGGGCTGGCACGATAGTACAGCGGGTGGGTAGGGTGTTTGCCTTGCAGGCGGCCGGCCTAAATTCAATCCCTTGCATCCCATATGGTCCCCCAAGCACCGTCAGAAGTAATTCCTGAGTGCAGTGCCAGGAATAACCCCTGAATATCGCTGGGTGTAACCCAAAAATAAAAAATATAATATAAGGGACTCCCTTAATTATTATGTTGCAATAGTTTAATCATTAAATTAATAATTATTTAATTAAAAGAAATAAATTAAAATTAAAGATGTAAATAGGAAATCAAAATAGAGTGTTTTTAAATGTAAAATTGCAAACATTATAATATTTACCTAGGTGTTTTCTTGAGTCTCAATTTTTAATTTTGTAGAGTTTTCTTTCATAAATAATTTATTATACAGGGTTTCATTTTTAAAGGAAAATAAATTCTATGCTACTAAAATTTGTGATGTTAAAAAAAATCTAGAAACACAAGTACCTAAATTATTAGACCTTTTTTTTTTCAGAAGTAATCTACATGTTGCCTAACTCTATGGACTTTTAGTGTGAACCTAATGCAGTATAAACAAAAATTGACTTATAATTCACAAATGAAATTTAGGCAATCTTATAATACAAAGGTACTTCAATAAACTTATTTTAAAAGATACTTGTAATGACTATAGCAGTATATAGGATGAATTATGAAATGTTAATATCGATTTCTTTATTTTCTTGGCAGCTCCTAAAAAATTTTATTTGACTGACTGTACAAAGGATGAAAAAGCAAATAGTTCTATTTGTTTAAATATAAAGAGTGATAATTTTACTTGCAATAAAACGGAATTCTCATACATATTTCAATGTGGTAAGATTATAGCATTATCAGAGAACTTTTGTTTTAATGAATCATTCTAGATTTTACTAGTTATTCTTTCATTTCTTATCTTTCCCCTTTTTTTCTTTTTTCTTCTCTCTTTTCTTGCTGCTCCCTTTACACTCTATGGTATTTAGTCAAGTCATTTTTATAAACCATTAAAATGTGTAACACGGATGATTAATTCCTCTAATATATTTTAAAATAGTGAAAGTCAGTTTACCTACAAGAATTTTCTTGGCAACCATTACATGCACAGCATTGTTAAAGATTATGAGAGAAGTCTTTTATGAAAAGCATGATATACATACTAAAAATTAAAGGAAAAACAAGTGTAAAATGACACGATTCCAGTTTATTTAGTCAGTCTTCTGTCAATAAAATTCATAAATGGGGTTGAAAAGATAGTACAGGCGTTACAATGCTTGCCTTGCTTGTGGCCAACCCCAAATAAGTCCCTATATGACATAGCCCCTGAATTGAACCCCAATAACACAGCTGAGAATAGTCGCCAAGCACCACTGGGGAGTATTCATCAACCCCAAATAAAATTTATAAATAACTTAAAATAACATATACTTTAAAAAGTGGAAAAATACTTTTTTTTTGAGGGGTCAACTCAGCAGTGCTTAAAGCTTATTATTGTGCCTAGGGATCACTCTTGAGAGTGCTTGGTGAACCATATGGGGTGCTGGTGTTTGAATTCAGGTCAGCCAGCTGCATGCAAGGTAAACGCCTTACCTGCTCTACACTGTCCAGAAATAGAATTTTAAGTATTCTTAAGATTGTGAATTTGGGTTCATGATGTGTGTGTGGCAGGGGGAGATGGAGGTGGGTGGTAATAACCAGTATAGTGATTCATTGGGTTTTAAAAATCTTTAAAATTTTTTTTTAAATCACTGAAATGGTATTTCCCTTTCTGACATTATGTCATTCCTTAGACCATATTTGGCAAGTCATGTAGACTTACAGACACAAATGAGCATGCATACACATGCAAACAAGATGGAGTGTGACCCAATCACATGTTATGTAATCATTATATTATGTAGTAAATGCTTGACTGTGATATGAGCAGTAAGCAGAGATATGACAGACACGTGTTCATAACAAAATAATCATGTAGCAATATCCATATTAAACAGAGGTGAACTCATGTGCAATCTTAATTTCTAAACTTAGCAAAATAAATAATATGGCTCATACAACTGAATTTGAGACCATCTAAAATTCAGATAGGACTGTAGCACTGTGGCACTGTGCTCCAATTGTTCATCGATTTGCTTGAGCAGTAGCATCTCCATTGTGAGTTTTATTGTTACTGTGCTTGGCATATCGAATACGTCACTGGTAGCTTGCCAGGCTTTGCCATGTGGACGAGATACTTTTGGTAGCTTGCCAGTCTCTCCGAGAGGGACGGAGAAATCAAACCCGGGTCGCCAGGATCGACAGCGTCAGCCACGTGCAAGGCAAATGCCCTACCCACTGTGCTATCACCCCAGCCCAAAATTCATATATATATATATATATGTATATATATACTTCCTCTGAAATTTAGTGTTGCAAAAGAACTCATTATTATAAATAGTTTTATGATCTTGAATTTTTTATGATTTTATAAGATCCTCACTCCAATACATATTAAGTGATTAAGGATATGAAATAAAAAGAAATTTAAATGTGACATTGTATTAACATATTAATATGCAATACTCATTTTCTTTAGGTAATATGAAAGAAAATCCTACAAAGAACAGCACTAAAGAATTCAATGCTGTTCCAGACAAAAATTATATTTGTCATGCAGATATACTCTATAAAGAACAAAAGTTTGCCCATAAACAGATAAACGTTAAAACAGATGTTGGAGGTGAGTATACTTCTTACTATTATGTGTAAAATTTCTATTCTCTTTTGCACTCTTACGATTCTTCCAAAATTGTAGAAGTAAATGCTAGAGGTTTGGAGTAAAGATTTTAGAAAATGGATTTTCACTGTAGAGTTTCAAAATAAATGCCAGAAGATCAAACCTCTAATCATTTTCCTTTTCTGCAAATACTGAACTCTTCTAAGGTCTTGGAGGAAGTTTCAGTGTTCCCTCGCTTCCTACTTCCTTTCGCCTTTCTCCCCACACGAATTCCCTTCTTCCTGTGCCTGCTCCTTTATCTCTCCCCTTAAATCCTATTTCTATAGAAAAAAAGGGGAACATTCACTAATAAAATATAGTGAAAACAACTATTCTTCCAGCCTAAGTACAATTCTTAATCCACTGAAAGTTATTGCTGCCCAGCTAAAAAAAAAAAAAACAATCATAATAACATAACCGGAATCACACTGTTCCATACAGTTGCTTTCTGTAAGTTTTAAACAAGAAATTATAAATACTTTAAGTTTAGTCTCTTCAATATTACTTCGATATTCAGGATTTAATCAGATTCATAGATATATTTCTTGAAATTTTAGGATACACTTGTTAATTTCTATAAAGAAGCTGCTAAAATTCTGATTAAGTTCTAAAATTCTGATGTTTTTGGTTGATTCTAAGGGTCAGCTTGGGGAATATGTCAGTGCTAATCCTCCAGTCCATAAATTTATGGTGTTTTTTTCATTAATTTTGGTCATTATTTTATTTATACAATATTCAAATATTATTTTATTTGAAGATATTTTGTAATTTTCAGTGCACAAGTCTTGCACTTCATAAGCTAAACTTATTCCTATGTTTAACTTTATTTCTACATGTAATGGCATTTTATTAATTTTAACTTCAGATAATTTATTACTATTGCATAGTCATACAATCAATTTTCTTAGGTTGATCTTATAATGCTGTGCTGTTTACTAATTATATTTTTCAAGTATATGTACTCTCAAATGTAAATGAGTATATATATTTCATGTACATATAGAAGTAAAGCTTAAATCCCTGAAATTCATAATATTTTAAATCTGCATGTTGATAAAAATGTCTGCTTTAGACTTAAAATTTTAATTTATGGAAATAAATTAAGTACTAAAATTATTGTATTCTTTAAAAATTAGTGTTAAAATGATTTCCAGAAATATTATTTTTTCATAAAATATCAAAAGAAGTTCTCTGTCAGAAAAGAGAAGTTTTGCAACACATAATCCAGCTATGCCTATATAAATAACGGAGGGCATTACTCTCTACTTCTTCACAGCCTCAAAATGTATTGAAGACCTAAATTCTAGAACTAAGCTTATAGAATGCCTCGATGAATATATTATAGGAGACAATGATGACTTGAGCACTCATTGAGATAACAAAATTTAAAAGACTGACAAAATTATCCCAAAACTGTAACAAAATACCTTAGAAATTTAATTTCACTCAGTGTATTTTTCAAAAAGACTAACTAAAAGATGAATTAATCTTCTCCAAAGGCCTTGAAAAAACAAGTTTTGTCAACAGTCAAATAAATAGAAGATATTCGAGGCCAGAGAGACAGCAGAGTGGGTAGAGCCTTGTACATGGCCAAGCCACATTCGATTCCCCAGCATCCCATCTTGTCCTTCAAGCTCACCAAGAGTGATATCTGAGTGCAGAAACAGGAATAAGCCCTGAGAACTGCAGGTTATAGCTCCCTACCCCCTAAAACAACAACAACAACAACAAAGATATACACAGTATTATCTTGCAATCAAAAATTGCTCACAAAAACTATATGGAACACTATGAGTGAATCTATAGGGTATTATAGAGTAAAGTATTTTTGACATTACTTATTTCTCAGTTTCATCTATATGAAATACATGAAAAGACAATATTAAATCAATAGTAACCAAAAGAAGGTGTTGGGGTTGGGACAAGTTAACTGGGAAATAGCATAGAACTTTGGGAGAGGATAGAAATGTTCTGTATCTTGCTTGCTGTTGTAGCTGTGTACAACCATGTGTTCATTAACCTCATAAATTACACCTCAAATAAATGTGCTTTCATGTAAATTATATTTATAAATTTTATTCTGATGGCTAGTTTCTCAAAGCAATGAAAAGTGTCCTTCCAAATAATGATTATGAGTTTGATCGGTCTTACCAAGGCAGATTTTCAGCATGGTAAAATCTAGAAAGCCCCAAATCAATGGACAATAACACATTTGAGAAAAAGAGGAGACTGTCAGGTACTTCAAGTCAGGTGAACTTTCAAGTCCCTTAATATCACTCAAGTGCGTTTAATGACTATTTAGCAAGAAGTCATCTTCCTTTGAATTTTCTAATTAATAACCAATCAAAATGTGGCCACTAGGAATGTAAGCTTAGAATGTGAAGAAAAAAATTTTCATGCCTTCTTATTTATATTTTGTATTTTTACTCTTTTTAACAGTTCCCAAAAAGCCTTGGAATCTTTCTTGTAATGATACAACTAAAGAAAGCAGTGAGATTAAGTGGCAGTTCGAGAACAGCTCTTCTTATTATTTTGAACTTTTCATCAATAATTCAGGTAACTTACATCAAATATAATCCTATATTCAGAAAAGTAAATCATGAATTGGAAATTATGAGTAATGTGGATTTGAGTTAGTGCCACACACAGTTCTTTACACAGAGAGTGTGAGACATCCTTCTGCTTTGATTTTCAATTACTTGTACTCATGTCACATTTTTTAGCGCATTGCAATGACTAATGCCCAGAATATCTATCCCAATATTTGCTCATTTTTCATTCTCTATCTGATTTTATTTCTTGTACCCCAAAATCTTGTACAAGAAAATGTCTAGAAAATTATAGTTTCTACTGTCTTCCAAATATTATGTGAGTTGCAATAGTGTGAATTCCCCTAAGTTTGCATTAATTGATGAACACAAAATATTGGGTGAATAAAATGAACATGTATTCATTTAACCTTGGAGGCCTTTTAAATGGCAGGTGAAAAACAATAGAACAGTTCTAGGATCCAGAGATAATATAGTTGGCAGGGCACTTGCCTAGTACATGGCCAAGCTAGGCTTAATTTCCGGCACCCTATATGGTCCTTCTGAGTCCCAGTGCAGATCCAGGAGTAAGCTCTGAGCACTGTGAGGTGGGTCACCATCCCCCATAAAAAGAACAACAGTTGTACTTCGAATTTGGCCAGAAAGATAGAAAAGAGGTTCAGGCAGTTACCATATAGGCCACTAAGCGCTAGTCCAGTCTCTGATACTGCATATGTTTCGCCAGCTCTGCATAAGAGGCCAGCATAAGTCCTGAGTATGGCTGGGTTGTGGCCCAGCATCTCACACTTTCCCCTTCTCCCCACACCCCCCACCTGCCTCCCAAAAAAGAATTTGACTGCTATGAAAGCAAATAAAGATCAAAATCTGTGCTATGACATGCTTTAAACATGTGCCCTTCAAATAAGAGGTCATTTAAGAGATCAAGTTCTTCTGGAGAATTTAACATATACTAAATGCTCTGGGATAATTTAAGTCAATGAACTGTTCCAGCACAGCTTCAGACCCTGAGAGAGTCCACAGTCCAGTGTTTTGATACCTATTTGTTGGGAATACAAGTCTGTGGGGAGAATGGGCAGGAGAGAAGGCAAAGGGCTTTTCCCGGGTTTATTCTTGGCACCATGAAGTTGCTTAAGCTACCAGAAGAGACCCCTGCCAGGTATGCCCCCAACCCAACATTTTCTCCTCAATAAAAAAAAAGCAGAAGTGGCATCACTGTGTATGCAGAGAATCAGATACAAACTCCCAGTCTACAAAGTGAAAATAGGTCTTTAGTAAATTTTGATAGCATTCTTTTGGCTTATCCTTTTTGAATTGTAATCAAATCACTTAAAACAAAGTTAGATGTACATGCCATTTTTGAGCTACCATAAAATAAATCAAATAAAATGAAAAAAAATAAATGTCAGATATTCAAGGTTCCATATACAAACATACTCTGTGAATGGAAGCCAGCTTAAGTTTGAAAATGGAACTTTGACACTTGAATTGCAGTTGAGTATGATGTCGGACACTTTAGCAGATGTGAATAAGCAGGGGGAGAGAAGCTGTCCCATGGGTGCTCTTTGGCATACACCTTTTTTTGGCTCTTAGAATTTGCACTAGAAAAGGAAATAAGTGAGCTGGCAGATTTATCTTACTTAACACCAGTGCTTTCTGAGAAATAGTATCCTAACCAAGGTAGGACAGAAACTGCATGCCACTTACTATATTTAGCATCCCATGGTGAGGTACTGATACTGCTATAATTTCTATCTGAACAAAAGTTAACTGAGACAAGCATATTGCAGGTGTCTGATACTCATGTCCACTACAGCCATCCAGAAGTGTATTGAGCAAGACCAGAGATGTAAAGCTATCTCAGTGCAGCTGAAAATGATCCTTCATTTATATGTTGGCTTTTCTTTGAGCATATCATTCATTTCTCTCCCTATTAACCAGCAGTTCAGATGCCACCACCAACTTATTTTCCCTATTCTTGCTACTATGAGTTATTAGAGATTAAATAATAATTGGATAATAAATAAGATTTTCTAGTAAAATGAGTCAGTGGGATCAAATGCTTTCTGCATCTGAAGTTTGTAACAGTCAATATCAATGTTCAACATATAAGATTAATTATCAGATAAAGTCTGGAAAAATCAACGTTTCGTAGCAATAAGAATCAAGATTTTCAAATATCCACCATGGACTATGTTTTTTAAAAAAGCAGATTCCATCTTCCCAGCTATGCCTAAACTTACTAAATATTTTATGTACAAAGTTAATTTGCAAATAAAATGCAAGTATCTTTTAATTTTGGGTTCTTAAAATAATGTTAGAATTTGTTCAATATATTAACTAGTGTATATGTGCACTTCTCAGCTCTAGCACTGTAGTACTGTTCTCCCATTGTTCATTGATTTGCTCAAGAGGGCACCAGTAACGTCTCCATTATGAGTCTTGTTGTTACTGTTTTTGACATATTGAATAGGCCACAGGGAACTTGTCAGGCTCTGCCGTGCGGGTGGGATACTCTCAGTAGCTTGCCAGGCTCTCCGAGAGGGATGGAGGAATCGAACCTGGGTCGGCAGCATGCAAAGCAAACACCATTCTTTATTTTTTGACCATTCCAATCATAGTTTACGTGAAATGATTTCATATACAGAACTAATTAAATATGTGCTAGTCCTGGCTTTCAATGTCTGGATAAATGTTACTTTTTTTTTCTGGTAAGATAAATACTACAACGTGAGTCAGAGGAGTTACAAAGTGGAGAATCTGAGTCCTTACACACAGTATTCTGTCTCATTAATTGCCTCCATCTGGGGAAGAGTGCAACGCCGTGGACCTGCTGAAACATGTAGTTTTCGAACAAATGCCTCACGTAAGTGCTATTCCCTGATGCCCCAGGGATACCTAAGGTTGAACATTTCATAATGCAGAATATTTACCACTAGTCTTCATTTTGGGAATACATTGACCTGGCAAATCACATTGGCATGACATCTTTATGGACATTGAATTTATAATGATCTTAAATACTGCAATTTAGAAACTGTATTTTTGATTTTCTTCATTCAGATATCATCACCTTATTTTATGAATAAAGAACACAGGCAAATTTTTTCTTATTTCAGGCAATGTGCACTCAAAAAAGAATATGTACTCTATTGTTTTCTATTATCTGGGGGTTTGTTTTGTTTTGTTTTAGGACCACACTTGGTGATACTTAGAGCTACTTCCTGGATCTGTGCTCAGAGATCACTCATGCCAGGTTTTGGGTGACCATATGTGGTGCAGAGATTGATCCTGGGTCAGCAAAGTGCAAGGCAAATGTCTTTACCCTTGTACTATCTCTCTGGTCTGAAAAATCATGATTGCAGTAAGACAGCTGAGAATTTCTTCTTCCCCAAATACCTTCTTGTTCACACAACAGAATGCCTCATGCAACCTAATTTTTGGTTGGCATTTTTTATGCATTGTTATACTCAAATATCTGCTATTTTATGACACACTTCCCACCTGATGTGCACTTTCAATGGCATCTGTCTCTTGCCATCTGATTGAAGTCTTCGTGGTTTCCCCCAAAGTCCAAAGCTACATCTACCTCTCAACTGAATGCCCACACCAGTAAGGTCAGAGCAGGAGAAATACCTCTGTGTAAAGGAGCAACTACAGCTGGAGCCCTGACTACCAGAGGGTCATGAAGAAAAAAACGGTCCTATTCAGTATTGGACATAAAATGTTCTTTATGCCATTTAAGTCCTGTCCATAAAGTCCAGATCCTTGAATTTTGTGCTTTTGTTCCTTTCCTGAATTTGCTGATAGCATAGAGGACAAAGACAATGTATCGCTGGTCTTAAGAATACAGCCAGATAGGTACTTAGCAGGATAATATGAACTCCTCAGACATGATGACCTGGATTGTATGTAAGTCTTTAGAGTTTTCCAGTCATCCCAATCAATCCCTTCCTTCTGCCCTCCCTGCAACCCTTTCTTTTTTTCTCGGTTCCTTAGTTCTATATACTCTCCTTGGGGAATTGCACAAACACTCATGATTTCAAGTACTGAGACCAGGCCGATATTGATTGAAGAGGTGATTTATTTTTAGATGTTATTCTACAAGTTTTTCACATGTGGATTTTTGTAATGTTCTCATCTGAATTAAGTAATTCAATAAGCCCCCTAATTAGCATTTACAGCTTATATTCACTGTATCACTGTATCACTGTAGTCCTGCTGTTCATCGATTTACTCGAGTGGTCATCAGTAACATCTCCATTCTTTCCAGCCCTGAGAATTTAGCAGCCTCTCCTTATTCATTTTTCCAATGCTGCCATTTTGAGGCTCTTTCAGGGTCAGGGGAATGAGACCCATTATTAGTACTGTTTTTGGCATATTGAATATGCCACGGGTAGCTTGCCAGGCTCTGCCATGCAGGACAGCTTATATTATATATGTTTATTCTAAGCTACCGAAAGTATCTCACCCTCACGGCAAAGTCTGGTAAGCTACCGTGATGTATTCGAAATGCCAAACACAGTAACAAGTGTCACAATGAAGACATTACTGGGCCCGCTTGAGCAAATCAATGAACAACGGGAGGACAGTGACAGTGACAGTTTATTCTAAACTAATTCAAATATGTATTTTATAAATTATTAAAGAAATACATCTTAGTTTTTAAATATAGTGTTTTAAATTTCATATTAGTCACAGTGTTTTACAATTTTACAATACTGTCAGTGATACAGTTTCATGTTGACATGCAGATATACCAACAACTACCCCCTCCACCATTGTGTTTTCCTCCCATCTGCCCCCTCTGCCCACGTCTTGCTGCCATGATAAGCTCCATTCCATAGGTCAGATATTAGCTTCTAATAATTCTGGCACTTCATTATTACCTTATTATGTTTCTTCATATGCCACTTACAGGAGAAGCTATTTTGTGTCTGTCTTTCGCCTCTCTGACTTCACTTAGTATAATGTCCTCCAGTTCTAATCACATAGTCACAAATTGCATGGTTTTGTCTTTTCTTTTCTTTTCTTTTCTTATACCACATGATATTCCATTGTGTATTCCATGTATCTTTGCCCAGTCATCTGTTCTTAGACACTTAGGTTGTTTTCAGATTTTGGCTGTTTGTAACAGCGCTGCCATAAATATAGCACTGTAGCACTGTAGCATGGTCCTCTCGTTTTTCATCGATTTGCTTGAGCGGGCACCAGTAACATCTCCATTGTGTGACTTGTGCTGGGGCCATAGAAGCACAAAAATTTTTGTTTGTTTGTTTTAGTCACAGTGGTTTATAAAACTGTTATGGCATTCCAGCACCACACTATCGTCCTAGTGTCCATCCATCTCCCCCTCCCACCATGATCAAATTCCTACTGAAGATCAATCCTCAGCTTCCTTGCTATTGTGAATTTGTTATTCCCCTACTCTACTTCTTTATATTCTGAGTATGAGAGAGATCACTCTGTGTCCGTCCCTCTCCTTCTGACAATTTTCACTCAGCAGGATATTCTCCAGATATCTGAGTATTGTTTCTGGGGTAGATACCCAGAATTGGAGTTTCTGAGTAACACGGGAGCTTCCTTATGAAGTTTCAGATGGGTATCATTGAAAATCAACATGTCTATTCAATAAATTAAGTTCACTACTGAAAGTTCAATCTTCCTTGATTTTTATAGGTCCAGAAAAGGTCAGAAATTTGAAAGTTGCTTTTGTCGCAGACAATTCTGTGGATGTGACTTGTGTTCGTCCCATAAATCTTAATGGTCCTGAAGGAGAATATGTTTTAACTGTCGAGAAAAATAATGAACAGGTTAGAAAAGATAAGAAGAAGGACTGTAAGTTCTCAGTAAAAGATCTTCAGTATTCAACAAAATATATTTTTAAGGTAAGATAATAATTTCTATAACAAATATTATGATTATAAGTATTTGATACTTCAATAATTTCAGTGTGCACATGAACTCAAGTTATAAAGTTTAGTGGAATCACATTTTAAAGTCTGGTTTAACTCTAATCATTCTTACTAGAAACTGGCTTCTAGCAAATATTTTGTTAGAATGTTTTTGATTTTCAATATGATTTTCTTAGAAGTTGTTTGTTGCTTCTGTATCCATGCAACATTTATCAGTTACAGAATCTGGCTCTTTTTTTGAGGGTTAGGGGTTCCCAAGTGATGTTCAGGAAGTCTGGGGGCTCGCACAAGTGGTTCTGGATATGAGAGACAAGAGCTCTAACCACTGTACTATATTCTAGGTATCTCAACTTGACTTTTTATCTTTGACAATCTGATCTTTAAATTACATTTTTTAACAAGTCCATTGAGGTTATCAATAATAAATATTTGGAAACAGGAGTGAACATAGAAAATTTTTTCAAAACTTACTCTTAAGATAACTGTCACTTGATCATCGATGTTGTACATTGAAAGTGGAAGAAGTAATTTGAAGGTGGGGAAAGCCTTCATCATTCCTTTGGTTCTAGGGGAATCCCTGAGCTCAGTTCATCTTCTGTGTGTTTATTTCCTTTATGCCTCATTTATTTTATCTGTTCAGTTTTGCTTCTTCATGCTGCTGGTCATTATTTACTGCTACTGCTATATGAATTAAGATTTCTTTTTTGTAAATAGGGGCACACTTGTAGTAATCAGAGTTTACTCCTGGCTCTGTGCTCAGGGATCATGCATGGAAGAGCTTGGGAGTACATATGGTTATAGGGATCAAATTTGAATTGTCTCTGGCTGCATGCAAGGCAAAGACCTTATCCAATGTACTACCTCTTTGTCCACTAAGATTTCTTCATATCTTTTATTACTGTTACATATTTCCTTTAATAATGATAAAATAGGCAGTGTGAGGGTGGGAAATGTGGGGGTATACTGGGGATATTGGTGATAGGGATTATGCACTGGTGGAGGGATGGGTGTTTGATCATTGTGTGTTTGTAACTCAAACATGAAATCTTGTAACCATCTCATGGTGAATCAATAAAATTTTTAAAAAATCACAAAAAATGATAAAATATTCACTTAAGCGTAAACTCTCAACTTTAAGTTATAGTTCTCCAGTATGTTTTTAATGAAAATAGTTTATGAGTAATAACTTGTGTCACATTTTGATATATAAATGCACATTTGGAAACCATTTCTCTTTTATTATTGAAATTCAGGTCTTGTATAACAATAAACATCATGATGGAGAAACAGAGACTAAAACTGAAACAACATATTGTAAGTCTGGGATAGTTATTGTCTTAGATTAAGGTGTGCATTAACATTTTAAGTTTTTTGCTCTGTGGATAAAATGAGATATTTGGAAGTTTTTTGTGCTGCATTAGTAACAGAAAGTTTCTGATGCTATCATTGCTTTTCATTCTTTCTGTCTTACATCTGCTTGATCACTAAAGCTTTCTTCCCCAAAATGATTCCTGATAGGAAAGATATAAAAACAATTTATTCCCCCAAATGCTCGATTAACTCTCAAGTGCAATATTCTGAACAAACTCAGCCAAATATCTCTGATTTTATTTCAAAATCAATCCTTTTTTTCTAAAAAAAAACAAAACAAAACAAAACAAAAAAACAATACCTTATAATAATGACAGTTTCATGGAATCTTTTTCCTGGTTGCATAAAAAAATTTAGAATAGAGAGTCTACTCTTCAGGGTCAAAGACTCGGTTACATATCTGACTCTCACATTTTAATGGGCCAGACTTGGCACCCATCACAGAGATGCCCCCTGAACAGTATCCACAACACTGCAAGCGAGTAAATCCACTAAGTAAATCTTAGTAGAGTTGCATACAGGAACTGCAACCGCAACTGGAGATAAAGATAAAGAGACGACATATGTGTGTGTGTGAGTCGTCTGGCTTATAATGACAGAAAGGACTCGGGATATCCTACAATAGTTTCAGAGGCATAGATTCAACATGGTTGTCAACAAGGTTGTGCCCTAAATTCTTTTCTGCTCTCAGGAAGATCAAAGCTATGCAACTATGCCACAGGGAATGTATGATTCAATTATAGCCTTGAGAAAAGGTTAGGGGTCATTTTTACTTAACAGCATTGCCTGACCACTTTTATGTCATTGCCAGTTGACCGAGAGAGAGATATAGAGAGAGAGGTGGGTTGGGAGAGAGAGAGAGGGAAACACAGGGAAAGAGGGGGGGGAGGGAGGGAGGGAAGGGAAAACATATTATAAGAGCCAAGATACTAGATTCATCTCCATATTTGGTTGTTTTATTAGGGATAAGTGATTCAAATCAAATTTGAAACTGTTTACTGTTGCCATAGAACTAAACCTGTTGAGCTGCTCTGGATTATACAGTTTATACAACCGTCACTTATTATAGTCTCTTGTCAAGGCTCATCTTGAAAATGGATTTAAATATTTGCTTAGCAAAGGAGGTTGTATCCCAAAATTTTGAATAAATCAATTGATTATTGCATGTGTTACCCATTACTGGTATTGTTTTGGAATTTTAGTGAAAAGACCTTATGATAGAAATAGGACAGAGAATAGTTTGTGTACTTTTTGGAGTGTGTTGAAATAAGAACTTCTCTAAAACATTAAATATAATTCATTCATGCATTTATATTAATATATCTTTTCATTCTTACATATTTGCACATATAGATTGAACAAATAGTGCATATTTCATATGTACTGTTGTTTCTCAAAGCATGATAGATATGGAAAAATATATGGATAATAGGAATATATATTGCATGTTAGCAAGATAGACTTACTCTCTCCATTCATATATGTATGTATATGTGATATACTAGTTAGAATATGGAAAACTCACTTTTGACATGCCTATCTGTGACTTTCTATATTCCTCCTTTCATCTATTTCAATTTCAGCTACTTTGTTATGAGACATTATCTCTAGCATATATTTGTTGCCCTCAGTCAAGGCAGAAGGAATGTTATGTGAAGATTACCACTGATCGTATAGAAAATAGGCTGTTTCTTTATCCTTGTTGCTTATAAATTTATATTGTTTACAATCTAAAGAAACACATGATAATTTTGTTTCCTTATATGCCTAATGTTAATTATATCCAAGAATGAAAATTTTGGGGAACTTAAGCCTTTTTAATGCTCTATTTTTCAGATGTATGCTCAGTCATGATTACAATGTAAGGCTCCTAATACTTATCTAGTAAGTAGGGATTGAAGAAGCAATATCAATTAATTAAGGCAATCAATGACAGATGATAGCACAGATACACACCAGGTTCCATTCTTACAATTCTGTTAATCACATTTTTCTCCAGAAAACCATAAACTATCTTATAGGCATTTTTTTCATCTAAATTAAACTCCAATTTCTCCCTGTATTCATGAACTAGACCAAAGATAACCATAAACACTTATGCATGGCCCTTTATCCCTTTGATGTCCTTCCCTCCATCCATGTGCAGCAAAAGTTCATAATTATTCATTGTGGTCCCTTTTACAAGTGATTTATGAATCCTTTGATCCCAAAAGACCCAATGATACTGACCTAACAGCTTTCCTCTTCACTACATCATTCCCCTCTGCTAAATTGGTCTCATTAGATTTGTTAAAAACAATCATTAAACCACCACCACAATATCACTTTTGGTTTGGGTTCTATCCTCTTCCACTGCACCCTATTTATTTACCTCCCTCACAGTGAAACAGTGAAGCTCCTTGAAACAGGCGTTTTGGTTAACTCTAATGCTTCTCTTTTCTCTTGGGAATCATCACGCCATTAAAACTACTATGGTCAAATTCAACACCCTACCTAGTACCAAAATTAAGAGGCCACTTCTCAGTATCTATCAAATGATTTCAGCAGCATCTGCTTTTGTTGATTATCGCCTCTCTTTGAAATATTTACACTGAATTTAGTTTCTTCCTTTTCATGTGTAAGTAGCCTTTGTTCTTCCAGCCTTCCTTTGAATATGTGGGACTCTTGTGACTTTTGTTCTAGAAATAAAATTAGAAAATTTTAATCTCCTGGTAAATTATTCAGTCTCACAGTCTTATAAACAAACTATAGAGAGCTTTCAAACTGATGTCCATTTCCAAGACCTTTATGGAAATATTTTGTGCTATGAGAGTTTCATATTTGCATGCCCAATTGTCTCCATAACAACTTCACTTGGGCATCGAGTCTTTCAAACTCTCAGGCCCTTGACAATTCTTTCCCATAGCTTACTGCACCCACAGCCATCCTGATTTCCAGTAATTGTAGTGATTCCATCAAACTGTATCTTGTTACTCTTCAGCTACCAAATAAGTCTGAATCACTGTATTATTTTCCCTGGATTATGGCATTACCACAAAACTCATACAAATTTATAGAGTGCACAAGTCAGAGGACATTGCTCCTCCTCATAATCCTATTGACACTATATTTTTAACTGAAAACTCAAAATGGCTTTGGAAAGACTGAAGGCCCTGAAAGTTGCCTCCTCCTCACTCCTCACTCCTCTCAGGGGGGATCTCAGCACTGCTCACCTTCCCCACCCTCCACCCAGCCCAGCAGCCCTAGAACATATTCTGCAATTCCTCTATCTTCATGTTCTGGACAAACTCTGCCTCATCCTTGAATTGCAGCCAGAGCTCACAAATCATTTTCGAACCTACTTTTACCATTGGCTTTTTCATTAGGTCTACTGTCTTTCTTTCCTCCTTAGAAGTTCCATGAGAACAAAGATCTTTGCTTTGTCCTCCAAGACACCTGCATTACCTGCAGCAGTGTTTAACCCTAGTATGACTCCAAAATTTAAAAAAACAATTCTGTTTTTTTTTGGTGAATTATTAATATTTACACTATCCTCCTGTCCCTAGCACGGTGCTAAGTGTTTACTATCATTTCTTTCAAACTTGTTTTAGGAAGTAGAGAATTAAAGTTCTAATCACAAAAATAATTAGGATTCTGGACAAGGATAGCCTGAGTGCCCAGCCTAGAGTGGGGCCCTTAAGGCACATTATTTTGCTACACTTTGGTTGTATAGGAAATGTATTAATGAAAGAGACAGATCTAACACATACTATTTTACTCTGCCCATGTCCCCAGTAAATGACACATGTTACAGCAAACCTTGGTAAAATTGTTATCAGAGAAAATTAATACTAGCTTGCAGAATGAAATAATTTTTCCTCCTTGGTTAATTGATTTTTGTATGTCAATGAGCATTTATCTTGGGGGACAGGGCCTTTACTGATCCTCTTAGGAGATGACCAGCATCTGCCAATCATGTTAAACTGCTGACTTTCACTCTGAAAATTATAAGATTGTTTCTCTGATTTCCTTCAAGAAGTGCTAAAGGATTAAATTTAAGTGATAGTATCTAATAAAATGGGATAATATAATAAGGATTTTTTCTGTAATCTAAGTGCTATCTTGCTATCTTATAAAGTATTTTTTATTATTTTTAAATAATATGGGCTGGAGCAATAGCACAGTGGGTAGGGCATTTGCCTTGCATGTGCAGCCAGCCTGGCGGACAGGTGTTCGATTCCTCAGCCCCTCTCGGAGAGCCGGGCAACTGAGAGTATCCTGCCCACAGAGCAAAGCCTGGCAAGCTACCCGTGACATATTCAATATGCCAATAACAGTAACAACAGGTCTCATAATTTGTTGTGAAATGTTACTGGTTCCCACATTAGCAAATCGATGAACAACAGGAGGACAGTGCTACAGTGCTAAATAATATATTTATAAAGTTAGGAATTCATTTTACTTGGTCTCATCGAATATGTTCTGGAAACCTTGAAATGAATAAAGATACCAAAATATAAGTATTCTAAAGATTCTTTAAATAACATTATAAAATGTCTGACCTAACAAAAATTGTTCTTCTTAATTTCTAGATAATTCTAAAGCACTGATTATATTTTTGGTATTTCTGATTATTGTAACATCAATTGCCCTGCTTGTTGTTCTCTATAAAATCTATGATCTTCATAAGAAAAGGTCCAGGTAAGCATTGATTTTAAAATGAAAAGTAATAACAGTAAAAATGATGTTAGTACCCATCAAAGACATAGATAACGGCAAAAATGTAAATTCAGAGAAGGCAGCATAAAATGCAGCTTATCACAGAGCTTTTGATCAAAGGCTTTTAGTAACATCTTTTTAATGTGGTTTTATCAGTCTATATTAAATATTCAAAATTCATTGATTTTTTAGGATTATCTTTAATAATCAAACGAGTCTAGACCCGTTCAGGGTGGTATGGCCATAGTGATAGCACAGTGGATAGGGCATTTGCTTTGCACGTGTCTGACCCGGGTTCAATTCCTCCACCCCTCCTGGAGAGGCAAGCTACCAAGAGTATCCTGCCCGCACAGCAGAGCCTGGCAAGCTCCCCGTGGCATATTCGATTTGCCAAAACAGTAACAACAAGTCTTACAATTAAGACGTTACTGGTGCTCACTTGAGCAAATCGATGAACAGTGCTACAGTGACAGGGATCTACTGATAGAGGTAAAGAAAAGAGAATTTATTTAAGGAAGAATATATAATTTTAAATCAGGAACAACTACATTTTATGAAAAATAATAGACTTAAATCATTAATTCCCTTATCTGAATTCAGCAATGATTCATTGTTTCCTCCACTTTTCCTTGACTTCCCTCCTGTCTCTACTTCTCTTCTATCCTTTTCTCCTCTATTTCTTTTCTCTCCTTCCTATCTTTAGCCCCATCTCTACTTCCTGCTCCTCTTTTCTCATCTCTTTTTTTTATCCACACCACCTCCATTCCCTTCTTACACTAATTTGATACACTAATTAGATATAAATTAAATCCCAGGTAAAGCCTATCTCTTTAAAATAAACAAACTTCCTTTCTTGTTTCCACAGTGATTTAGGTGAAATAATTGGTCTTGTTGACAAGGGTAAGTATGCATACTTTTACTTATGAATAAAAATGTGGAGGGGTCACATTTGATTTGATTCATTAAATTCAAATTCAGAATTTAAAATTTTGTCTGAATTTCCTCTATTAATTGACTCAGAGATAATACTATTTTTTAAAATTATTTAGTCAGAAATTTTCTATTAATTTTTCAGGTATATGAAATAGTCCGAAAATACATCAGTAATAGGCCAGAGGCTCTCTTTGTAAGATGTTTGAAGCTAATGAAGGAAGAGAGAAATATTAACAATACTACTCTAATTTGATAAATCTTACCTGGATATAAATAGGCTTATAGAAAGAGAAAACAGGAAACTGCAAAGGGTCTTCTAAGATTTTAGAGGGACGTAAGGCAGTAATAAAAAGAGTGAGGAAAGGACAATTGGAAAGTTCCCAATGTGAAGAGGCAGTAAGCTTCATTCTCAGTATGGAAAAGATGCTGACTCATTTCTAAACAAGACCCAAAATAGCAATGTGACTTAGTGGAGTAAAACAAATTCTTTCCTACCACCCAACTTTTATATTACTTCTTTAAATTTTTTAAAAGTGTGACCTTTGAACCAATAAGAGAAGATGCAATTAATGAAGTAGAAGCATATTGATAATAAAGAAAATGATTTGTTCCTTTTTATTACAAGGCAAGAGAAATTTCAGAACTCTGTCTTGTTCTAACTTGCCTTGAAGGAATACTCTATGGCAAGAGCAGGCACTGGGCCTATATGTGAAAACGTGTGGAGTGTTCTTTGGAACTCATCTCCAAGCTTTGCTTTCCTTTCTAGAATCTATCAATTTCAAATATGTGATTATATGATATCTCTTACTTGTTTGATAATGCTCCTCTCCAAACTATAAGCTTAGTAAATACATTTGGTTTTCTCTTCTCACTCTGCTTTAACACCAGTTTTCTTGATGAGTATGTAAAATTCAATAAGTAGCAATGGAAAACAAAATGGATGAGGTTAAATGTCATATGGTTGGGTTTTTTATTGGATGAGGGCAGAATGAAGAATACAGGCATCAAATGCAGAGGAGGTATTTTGCTTCTCCATTTCCAGAAGTTACAGCACACACGATGGCCTCACAGAAACATTTTAATTTGAAGTTGATAACAGTTGTTCTTTGGAGTATATTACATCTTACCCAAGCTCCATAGAGTCCCAATGATAGCCGTGAGTTCAGAAAGAATGAATATCAGAAACCACCAGCCATACACAAAATCAATTGTGCATGACCAATTTTATCATTGTGGTTGGACTGAAATTTTCCATAGTTAATAAGATTACTGTGCAATATTCATGAACATTTTTCTTCATTTGATTACTAGATGTTTTTAATAATTAGGAAAAACTAACCAGAATACTAAAAGAAATACCATCAGACATAGAGAGAATAGTGGAAGAAACACAACTTAACATGTGTGTTAGACTATCTTTTCTTATTTTTTTAAATTATTGTTTGTCAGGGGCTGGAGTGATAGATAGCACAGCTAGTAGGGCGTTTGCCTTGCACACGGCCAAGCCAGGTTCAATTCCTCTGTCCCTCTCAGAGAGTCCGGCAGGCTACCAAAAGTATCCTACCTGCAAGGCAGAGCTTGGCAAGCTCCCTGGGGCATATTTGATATGCCAAAAACAATAGCAAGTCTCACAGTGGAGACACTACTGGTGCCTGCTTGAGCAAATCAATGAACAGCGAACAACAACGGGATGACAGTGCTACAGTGCTATTGTTTGTCAGGATCCATGTATAATGATAGCTATTTATGGTGATGGTGTATTTATGTTATTTAGAAAGATACTTCACAAATATCAAGAAGCCATAATGTGTTTTTTACTTTGGAGGCATGATAAATAAATATGACTTGTTCATATCCGAGCTGAACAGATGAAAAATTACTGAGTTATGGGTTTAAGAATATTAAATCATATTCCCTCACTTATACATTTTCAGTGTTTTAAAATTGCTAAAATTAAAAATAGAAAAATTATAATATATATTCAAAAGTATGCTAATTGCCATAAAATGTCTCTGTCAAAGCAATATAAGTGTCCTTACAAGAAGGTGTTTGTTCTGGGATATTTTCTCTGAACACAGAAAATGAAGAAGGGTATCACAGGTAGTAAGAACAAAGTGTACTGATTTATGGAAACATGAAATTATTTGATGCACTTGAGAACAGCCATGCATACCGTTTGAAGCATGAAAGTGGTGAATAGGGTGGCTTGAGTAGTCAAGATGCGATTTTTAAGGGCTAATATAATACCTTAAATTTCACTGAAACTTTCTCTTTGAGCAATACACACCAAAGTGTTAAAGTTTTTAAAGAAAGTAAATTATATGCTTGTATTTTGTTTCAGATGAATATATAACAACTTAAAAGATGAATCAATATAGGGAAAGAGTGAGGTCATTGAAAGTTAGGAAGATATATGATATGATGAAAAGGAACTCCTAATACTGGACTGTGGCAGAATAGATGGAAGTTCCTGTAACCCATTGGATATAGGGCAGAGGGGACAATACTAAATAATGTGTATGTTTCACATTGAAATTACTTTATGAATCTTGCTCTCATTTACTGATATTTAAAATGACTTTCACATCAAATATCTTGATGAACTTATGTCAAGTGCTTAGGGGCTAAGTGGGAGAAAACTTTGAGTAATTCAGAAAGATTACTATTAATCCCAAAAGAGGACTGAAACACAGAATTTTAAAATATTGAGTTTATAGTGAATGTTCAAATATGAATGAGGCTGTCCAGATGGCATTCATTTGGGAAAAAAAAGAAGCCAGTGATTGAATCCAACATACAAATTTAATTGACTACCTATGACTATTTGAAAGAGATACTAATACTAAATCTAATGTTTAAAGATGAAAAGCTGATGACTGTGGAGCCAATTCATTCAGATGTCCTGTTGGAAACTTACAAAAGAAAGATCGCTGATGAAGGAAGACTTTTTCTAGAAGAATTTCAGGTGTGGTCTCTTCTTGCTGTGTTATAGAATTTTACTGTTTTTAAGGTGATTCCATTTTAAATGTATCATGCAGGGACTTGAGAAATAGCACAGAGAGCAGAATGCTTGCCTTGCATGTGGTGACCCAGTCTTGATCCCCAGAACCCTATACAGTCCCCCAGAGCTGCCCAAAGTGATCCCTGAGTAGAGACTGAAGTAAGCCCTGAGCACTACCAGGTAGCCCCCCCCAAAAAATGAACAAATAAATAATTGTATCATGTGAACTTATAGTTTATGGTTAAAAGAAAATTCTATTTTCTTGCCTCTGTCCATGACCCAAAGGATTATTGTGTCTTTCAGAGCATCCCACGAGTGTTCATCAAGTATCCTTGCAAGGATGCCCGGAAGCCCATTAATCAGAATAAAAACCGCTATGTTGATATCCTTCCTTGTAAGTACTCATCAAGGATAGAATTTCTTGTATTTAAATGATTATTCATTATTTGCTTATTTATATTTCTTTTCTTTGAACAGATGACTATAACCGGGTTGAACTCTCTGACATAAATGGAGATGCAGGGTCAACCTATATAAATGCCAGCTATATTGATGTGAGTATAAATGTATATGTATATGTACCAAGTTATCTTATACATTACACTTATACATTTATCATTTTGTCATCATTTGTTTTCATTTTCTGCTGTGTGTATTCCTTTCAGTTTCTTTGTCATGACAAAGCTTAACAAATGGTATTTAGAAATAGTTGGAAGTAAGCCTAGAATACTGCTATACAAACAACCAGCCACTTATATCTATAAGAATACTTATTGCATTTATTGTCTATTTCCATAGGATGTAATATAGAATTTTTCTTAACAAACAAAATGATACTAAAGATCAAAAATTTCTGATACCTATTATTTGATGCATATTAGATTAGTTGATACATAAATGTGTGTCTTGTCAGAATCTTATACTTACTTTACCAACTGAAGAGGTTAAAAAAATTGACAAATATTTCCTGTAAGAATCTAGATAATAAATATATATTTCATTTATTTATCATAAAACATTAGATAGCTATATTGTGATTATTAAAATAAACTCCTGTATTATTATACCATCTCTTATATTAATGTACCAACTCCTGCATTCATGTACATTAAATGAGGTTTAATAACTTTAAAAATAATTGTTTAATGAGTAATCTTTGCTCATTATTTTACAACTGATTTTAGTATATCTATCAGATAAATACCTAAGAATTTTTAGGTCAGGGTGTATGCATTTGCAATATTAAAATATAAAATGTAAAATTATAATGTTAAAAAACATTTAAACGTTTAAAAGAAAATTTTCCAGTAGGGTTTCTTCAACTTAGCATTCTGCTAGTGGTGTAGAATGTTTCTGCTGCCCCTATACAGACTTGACAAAAATGTAGCAATTAAAAGAAATTTGACAGTAGTTGACAAAGTGATGTCATACTACTGTGCACATTGACTTATAAGGTCACCACCATTTTTTTTTCATTAAAGAAAACAAGTTGTTTTGAGCTATACGACTATAAATTTTTAGAGGCATAAGGGCAATAGACAAATCATAATGATAGAAATATTAACTTACATAGAGGATTAGTTTCTAAGTGGACATAAAGAAGTACCACAAATCAGGTGTGTAAAAAAAACATACAGAAATGTATTCTTTCTCAGATCTGGAAGTGACACGTTCAATCAGCAAGCTGTTCATGCCAAGCTCCCTCTGGTCACTCTGGGGAACACCTCCCTTTGCTTGTCTCTATGTTCTATGGCACCTGGTAATCCTTGGCATGCCTTTGCTTGTTGATTTTTTTTTCTCCAGTCCATGCCCCACCATCACAATGTCCCCTTCTCTGAATACCCCCATATCACTGTGTTTCGTTTTTCTTACAGGGACATAGGCCTTTGATTTTAGAGCCCAGACTCATTCAGTATGGCCACTTGTTAACAAATTATTGCTCTTATTTTCAGATAAGGTCATGTTCTCAGATTCTAAGTGATCATAAGATTCCAGGAGGAACACTAATCAATCCACTATATGCAATTGCTATAAAAGAGCAAAGTAATTTGCAAATATATTTCACTTGGATCATTCATGACACAATCATCCACGTCTATATCTTAATTATTCATAAAATTTTTGAGAGATATACAAATGAGTTTGGAGCAAAATTCCTAACATTCTTGATTATGATGTTGATCACATTTTTTTTTTTTAAAAAATTGACTCTGTTTTAATTTTTTAAAACAGGGTTTACTCCTGTCTCTGTGCTCAGGGATTACCTCTAGCAGTGTTCAGGGAACCATATGTGGTGGCAGTGCTCAAATTTGAGTCAGCCACATGCAAGGCAAGTGCCCTGCCAACTGTAATGTATCTCCAAATAAATAAGAATTCATTACATAGTTTCTATTTATCAGTCATATTGAAGTAATTTAAATATTTAAATTTAATTAAATCTCATATCTCAATGAGGTATCAACATTTTGTAGGAAGAAACAGTCAGGGTTTTGTTCTTTTTATCCCTCAAGCACTTTGACTCTAGAGCTGACGCTCTGACTTATGTAACATCTTCTCTACCATAAACTTTTTTGAGCTGCTTAATATGTCCTTGCTTAAGATTGCACCTGGAAATTCTATCCTAAGTAACAAATGTCTTCCCTGACATGAACCTTGATGCGTCTTCCTTTCCCTGTCCTTTTTCATATGGTTTTCAAAAGGCTGAGTTATAATGTTAGTACTGAGAGGTCACAGTTGTAAAACAGTGATGGGTGCCTTGTCCTAATTTTGACCTTTATTTTAACTGATTCTGCAGGTGACTTCTGTAGATATTCACAAATACATTGAGCAAGTATCATTAATTATTAATAATCATCAGGAATACATTTTATTTTTGTGTAGTGTATTTTCTAAAGGATAATTTATACTTCAAAAATAAAGCAAATGCACACACTTTATAAGATTATTTAAGCATCTTGAGAATTTCTAGAAAACAAATAACCTGTATTTTTTTCTTCAAACACAAATAATAATTGTAACCAAAAAGTACATCTCTATTTATTCAATAGAGTTGACAGTCTCAATTTGTGCCTTCAGCTTGGTTCTTGACATAGTGTAGCCTCTCAAGAAATACTTTTCGAATAAATAAGTTTATGAATAATTTCACATCATGATAGAGAAGTTTCAGGAAGTCGCTGAAATTAAACATGAATTCTTGTTGCCCATTTGAGTAAGATTGATCTCGCAGCACACGTTTTCTTTCTGTCTCTGTCTCTCTTTCTCAAGAAGTACACTAGGACAAATTTCAGGAACATAAAACAACATTAGAAAAAACAAGTGTAATATCTGTCTCTGCACTTGGTTCTGTTTCTTTATTGGGGTTGGGGTTGGGGAGAGTTGTTTGTTTTTGTTTCATTTGCTCTGGAGAAAGCAAATACTGTAAGCAATGGAAATTGTGCATCTCATTTAAAATGGAAGAAAAGGAGCTTGGGAGGGTTGGAGGGAGATAAAGAGCCTCTGGGCTGAGCAGCAATATTCAAGCCCTGGGTGGTGATGTGGTTTGGTGGTAGAGTATATGCTTTGCATGTGTTCAGTGTCCAGAACTGAGTCAGCAGTGGGGGAATGGTATTCTTGATTTAAGTTAAACAGGAGAAATGTGTGGATAATCTCAGAATGAACTATTGAAAGAAATTGAATAAAGATTCTCAAAGTAAATGACTGGAAAGGTTATTAAAACTGTGCAGGTGGTATTTTAAGGGTTGATGGGATAAAACAGAGAGGATTTCCTGGCTTACTCTTGAAGATAACTGTTCCATTCCAGTTAAGGAGTTTTAGCCTTTTTTTTAAAAAAATTATTTGGTGTTTATAACACTCAGAAAAGTTTTGTGTGGTATTTTCAAATACTAATATGACTGGCAGAATTTAATATTCCACTCAAGACTTAGTCTCTTATAATTTGAAAATGTCCAGGGGAAACCCATGATCAAGAAATTGAGATCTGGAACTGAAAAGATAGTAAAGGGTGAAGGTCTTATATGCAGCCGACCCTGGTTTGCTTCCTCTCACTGTATTTGGTTCACTGAGCACCACCAGGAGCAATCTGAGTACAGATCGAAGAGTAAGCTCCCAGCATACCAGAGTAGCCCAAAGGGAAAAACAAAAAAAGAAATAGAGAATCTAAATTAAATTCTCTGACTTCCAATTTCCTGTGTCTCTAACAAAGAGTATCTTTTTGTGTGTTTTGAATAGGGTTTCAAGGAACCACGGAAGTACATTGCTGCACAAGGTAACTTTGATTGTCCAATTTTCTTTTTGAAAGATTGTTCTATGCTACCTTAAGAACTTACTTCTTAGCAATTTATATTTGTTCACTTTCTAGGTCCCAGGGATGAAACTGTGGATGATTTCTGGAGGATGATCTGGGAGCAGAAAGCCACAGTGATTGTCATGGTCACTAGATGTGAAGAAGGAAATAGGGTATGCATTAAAAAATTCATAGGCTGAAGGCAAAGGGGGGTAGGTTGGGAAAAAGAGGGGTAAGTTATATTTTAAAAAGTCACGTATATATGCTTGATAATTAAAATTGGTAAATATCTATTAATACTCAATGCAATGCTTATGCAAATTTTTACACATGCAGGGAATGAAAATGTTTGTATATATAAATATATGTGTAAATTAATAAAATGTAAATGTTTCTGTTTAATTGGTACTTTTGAATCTCATTCCTTTTTTTGTGTTACTGGATTTTGGGCCCCACTGGCAGTGCTCAGGGCTTTCCACTCAGGAATCACTTCTGGTGAGCTCAGGGAACCATACTGGGTGCTTGGCATTGTACTCGGTTTGGCTATGTGCAAGGCAAGTGTCCTACCCACCGTACTATTGCTCCAGTCCTGAGTTTCATTTCTTTGAGGTATTATTTTCATTAGTATGTTTCTATGTATTCACTTCACAAGTAATTATGAAGTCATAAAACAAACTGACCTCAGGCAGGCAGGTGGCAACTTGTGGGATGTGACTTTAGGAACCCTAAAAGCATCCTCTCTACTCTTCAACCCAATTTGCTTCATGCAAACATATCATTTCTGCTAAGCACTGAGCACATGCTCCTTTACTATGAGCTAAGCATGAGACTGCCCGCCTCTACTAATGGCATGAAGGATATCCTTCAGATTGCCTTCACAGGACCTGAAATCTGTTTCAAGCATCACACCTTTAACTGAATAGGTACTTAGAAAAGAATATAGAAATTTTTCAGAAATTCGGGTGGATATTTTTTGTCTTTTGGCCTTTTTTATTGCTTTTTGTTTTGGAGCTGCAATTGGTATTTCTAAGGGCTTATTCCTGGCTTTGCACTCAGGGATCACTCTTGGCAGGACTTTGGAACCTTATGGGGTTGCCTGGGATAGTTGGATTCGAGGCATGTGCCCTTCAGCTCATGTTTTTTAAAAAGAATATACCATTCTGGTCACTTTTTTTAAAAAAAAAGAATATCTAATAAAGTAATTTAAGTGAAATCGAAATTCTTACATGATTTTTGAAAAATGCAGAATAAGTGTGCAGAATACTGGCCATCCATGGAAGAGGGAACCCGGAATTATGGAGATGTTGTTGTCAAGGTCCTCAATTGCAAGAGATGTCCAGATTACATCATACAGAAGATGAACATTACAAATGTGAGTTTACTTTATTACTTATTTTTTACTCGTATACTTTAAAAATCATTATAGATATTAAGTAGCACTGTAGCATTGTCCTTCCGTTGTTCATCCATTTGCTTGAGCAGGCACCAGTAATGTCTTCATTGTGAGACTTGTTGTTACTGTTTTTGGCATGTTGAATACGCCACAGGGAGCTCGCCAGGCTCTGTCGTGTGGGCAGGATGCTCTCTGTAGCTTGCTGGGCTCTGCAAGAGGGATGGAGGAATCGAACCTGGGTTGGCCATGTACAAGGCAAACACCTTAGCCGCTGTGCTATCTATCCAGTCCATAGATATTAAGTATCAAAAATTAATATTAAAAGTAGGTTTATTACTTGTGATCTGGAGAAGAAAAACATGGATTTGAACAACAAAGAAATTTGTTATGTCACTAGTGAAAACAGTTTATTACAAACAAATAACATTGAAAGTGTTTATAGTGTACTTACCATTATATGTAAATAAAAGAACTAATTAAAAGTGTTCAGAACTTAGGAGATAGTGCAGAGGATAGCAGTGCAGCATTAATAGAATCCCAGTCCTGAGCATGACATGATGTATCCCTGGAAGCCAGTTAGGGAAGCTTGGGTGGCCCAGGACCTTTCAGAACAGAGAAATGTTTGGGTCTTTGCATTGAAATGCTGATCCACATGGCCAAGATTCTTACGGTCATTTGCTCTGAACTCTGCTTAGGAGATCCAAAGGGAAAAGATATTTTCAATATTTCTTAATCTGTTGAATGAATGTCAAAAAGTTTCCATCCTCAATGAATGTATTACCATGATGAAAATAAGATGTACAGATGGCATAGTGACAGTGATAAGAAGTATAAAACTCTAAAGAAAACATGTTTAGTTAAGCCAAAATAAAATCGCTATGGTTAAAATGAAGAAGTTAATACATACAATTTCTTGCATGTAATGTGACCAGATTTGGCACGTTTATAAATACAGAAAGTTGGTTGAGATTGTTCAGAACCAATAAAGGTAGAGTGGTACTAAAGGTGACTATCCATATGAGTTAGGAACTTATTTACAATGCACTTTAATTAGGCGATGGTGATTATTTTACAATTAAGTGAGCACAATGAAATAATTTCCAAGATAAATGAAAATAATGAGTGGTATATGAAAGAAATCAATCTGTTAGGAAACAAATCTGTTTATAAATAGGTTTGGAATTCTCTCTGAATTTGGAGCAATAACACGTTGGTAGGGCATTTGCCTTGTGCATGGCCAGCCGGGCTGAGCTGGATTCGATTCCTCCACCCCTCTCGGAGAGCCTGGCAAGCTACCAAGAGTATCTTGCCTTCACGGCAAAGACTGGCAAGCTACCCGTGATGTATTTGATATGTGATATGCCAAACACAGTAACAAGTCTCACAACGGAGACGTTACTGGGCCCACTTGAGCAAATTGATGAACAACGGGAGGACAGTGGTACAGAACATTTTTCAGCAATCTAAATAGTATTTTCATGTATATGATCCAGATACTTTTTATGCAGGAAAAAAAAAACAGCAACCCCAACATCACCTATTCTACAATTTTTCCTAAACCATCTAAAGCTCCCACATTAATGTTGATTATTTGTTTTCCCAAAAAGGTCTGTAAAAAAATCACTTATAGCTCATAAAGTAGCAATAAACCGTAAAGAATCTGATTCCAGAGATAAGAGTGATAGGCAATGGTCACTCCTAATCTGGCCATATTGACCAGTCTGAGATAATTACAGCCAACCAAATTTTGTAGTTTCTTCTATTTTCTAAATGTAGGTAGAATTCTTTTATTTTTATTTACTTACTTATTTTAATGAAACAGGATATTTTTATTTACACTTATTTACATGTGAGGAGTGAGAAAGAGAGAAGGGAATGTTTATGAGAGAACACAGACCTTTCTAGAATGGAAATAAACCAGAAACCAGACAGAGAGACAAGTAAGCAAGTTATGTGTTCAAGGGAGCATGCAGACTTGAAGAGTAAGCCTGATTCTCTTAAAAAACAAGCCAAGGAATTTTGAATTATGCAGCGTCTGATGGTTATCTTCAGATCAGAACTAAATGAGCTTTAATCTCAAACTGACTTTGTTCAATTCTCTCTCAAGAGTTACAATCAACATTTTTCCTATAAGATAGCTTTGCAGGTATCCTGTCAATCAAATAAATCAGAATCACTTCCCATCACAAATAATTCTGTTTGCTCTCCTATCATTCAGAAGTATCTCAAACAATTGTGGAAACCCCCTCAACTTTCTCTCTTCTCACCTCTATGCATTGTCTCTGTGTGTTTGCTAGCTTGCTTGGTTTGGACCGGTAGCATGCAAGCTCAGAGCCATTGCAATCTCAATAGCCATGTTTGGCTTTTAACTCTGACCAATGCTTATTCACCAGTTATTGCAGGTAAATCCTGCGGAGCATCTCCATTGCTCATTATTAATTGGAAGGGGGAATTGCCATTGTGAATGAAATAACTTGAAGGAAGAATTTGGGGTATGAAAAATCTCAAAATAAATATGGTATCTTGACTAGAAAAAAGAAAAAACAAATGGAAGGGAGGTGACGCACATTCAGTTCACCAGCTGGCCGGACCATGGAGTGCCCGATGATCCTCACCTGCTCCTCAAACTGCGCCGGCGAGTTAATGCTTTCAGCAACTTCTTCAGCGGCCCCATCGTGGTACATTGCAGGTAAGTGAGCTTAAACAGGAAGTACTGAACTCATTCCTGCCCTGGATCCATGAGTTATGATACTCCTCCTCTCCTGGAAAGTTACTATTTGAGGAAGCAAACTATGAAGTGAATAGAATTTTTCCCCCCTTTCCCTGCTTTTCCATACATTCCTATGCCATTCATGCCTCCACTCTTTCATTTGTTTCTTCAGTGCTGGTGTTGGACGCACAGGGACCTATATTGGAATTGATGCCATGCTAGAAAAACTGGAGGCAGAGAATGAAGTGGATGTTTATGGCTATGTTGTTAAGCTGAGGCAGCAGAGATGTCTGATGGTTCAAGTGGAGGTATGTTCAAACCTTTAGTCACTGTGCAGTCTGATGAAGCTTTTTGGGGTGGGAGTAGTTATATTTCAAAGAAATTTGAAGTTTTCCATGCTTCAAACAGTATGCAAAATAACTGTCTTTTAGTTTTCTGAAAATAAAATTATGTGGAGAACAATAGGCATATAAGGAATGTTCACATCACTGATGATGAGAGAAATGCAAATCAAAATGGCAGTGAGTTATTATCTCACACCAGTGAGTGTCCTATTTAAAAATGCTGGTGCTGGTACAATGTGGTGAAAAAGGAACTCTTACTCACTGCTGGTGGGAGTGTTGCTTAGTTAAACCTCTCTGGGAAATGATTAGAACATTAGTCAACAATTAAGAATAGAGCATTCATATGACCCTATAATTTTATTCCTGGGTAACTATACCAAGAACACAAGATATTAATCCAAAAAGATATATGCACACCTAGGATCACCAATGCATTATTTATTAAAGACACAATCTGAAAACAGACTAGCTACTCAACAACAGAGAAGTGGATCAAGAAATTGTGGTATATATACCACATGGAATTCTATTCAGCTATAAGAAAAAATGAAATCTTAAAGTTTTTTATAACTTGAACACTAAGTGAAGTGAGTCAGAAAGAAAAAGACAAAAAGATGTTCTCACTCATATGTGTTGTACCAATAAACAAAGCAAAGGATTATGTGTTCAACATGGAGACACACCAAGATATGGCCAACAGAACTGGGACCCCTGGATGCCAAGGGATCAGGAGGGAGGGAAGGAATTTTGGCATTCTTACAGTGATCATGGTGTAGTAGTACTGCAAGTATAAAACAATGAAATCAATGTTACATGAATAAAGTAAGTAAATAAATAAGAAATATTTTTTAAAATTAATACTCTTTACACATATTAGAATGGAAGAGATATACAAATGCTGAAACCCAATTTGGTGACTTTTTATGAGATTAAAATTGGGTGGCTTCTTTAATTGTTTTCAGTGGGCCATGCCTGGCAGTGCTCAAGGCTTACTTCTGATTATGTGCTCAAGGATAAATCCGTGGTGGTAGGGGTCAAATCTAAGTCACCCATGTGCAAAGCAGATGCCCTACCACTGTACTATCTCTCTAGTCCCATATGATTAAAACTAGGGAGAATCTAGTTTAGTGGTCAAATCCTGTACTCATCTTTAATATTGGGAACAGTAGCAAGGTTTTCAGTTTTGCTTAAGTAATATGTAAAAATGGAGATAATGCATTACCCTGGATATAGACTTGTAAATGTGTACAATCAGAAACATACACAATAATGTTCACTGCACTCAGCATTGTCAGAATAAAAAAAAATTGGAAACACTAATTCATATCAGTAGAAAAATAGACAAACAAGACAGAGATGTATATGCTCTTTTTGCAACAGACACTGCTTAAAAGAATGATGTAGTCATGTATATCTAAGCAATTATATTCTCAGATAACAAAGAGTGAGTAAACTCTTCTTTCAGTTATATGTGGTGAATAAACTCACCAAATAAAACAGAATACTATTTGCATAATTTTTAAGAAATGGCTAAGGTATAGAATGTTTTAGATACATACAGTGTCAATGTATAAAAACAGATTTAAAATTTTTTAATTGAATCACTATGAAATACAGTTACAAAGCTTTCATGTTTGAGTTTCAGTCATACAATGATCTAACATACATCCCTCCACCAGTGCACATTTTCTGCCAGCAATGTCCCCAATATCTGCCCCCCTCTATCCCTCATCCAAACCCTCCCCGTGCCTCTATGGCAGACAGTTTCCTCCAAACTTTCTCTCTCTCTCTACTTGGGGACATAATGGTTTGTAATACAGATACTAAGAGGCTAAAACACATTTTTTAAAATAGAATTTTTGTTTTTTTAATTTTTTTCTTAAATTTTTATTAGCGAAACACCATGAGGTACAGTTGTAGACTTACAAATTTTTGTGCTTGGGTTTCAGTTATACAATAATCAAATACCCATCCCTCCACCAGTGCCCATTCTCCACCGCTACCAGTCCCAGTATACCTCCCACCCCCCATCCCCCCATCCCACCCTACCCCTGTGGCAGGGCATTCCCTTTTGTTATCTCTCTCCTTTTGAGTGCTGTGGTTTGCAAAAGAGACATTGAGTGGCAATCTTGTTCGGTCTATAGTCTACTCTCATCACTCATTTCCTATCCTGAGAGGAACCTCCCAACACCCTTTATTTGGTGCTCCCTTCTCTATCTGAGCTGCCTTAAAAAAGAATTTTTAATGATGATAATAAGCCCAAGCATGGTTATAACACTTTAAATAAAAGAAGATTAAATTCCCCACTCAAAATAATGTTACACAAAAGAGAGGAATTATCTTTTGTGAAAAAAAAATAGTGAAATTACATAGCCAAACTTAAGGGAACAGATATAGTAGTAAAAGATATTTTAACTTTATCAGAAATATGGCCTTTAATAGAGAGTGACACCAAATATGACTCAAAAACTAGGAGTCATTAAATGAATTTTTAAATACATTTTTTGAAAAGTCCTAGAAAACTTTTTAGAATTGAATTATTTGTAATATGTCCTTGTTTTGTAAATCCCAGAGCTTGTATGACATGTTTTGCAATTTAACACAGCGTTTCTCCACTTTTATCTGATCATAGTCCCCACTGACCTGTTTTCTTTCTTGAACTCCTTGTTTTACCCTTTGGTCCCTACTCTCATGTCATAGCTCCCTTTTTACATGGTTTTAAGTTGTGGCCCCCATGGAATAGACAAAAGGCCCACAGAGGTTCTGAAATACTAATTTTATAAAATTATTTTTAGTAAGCTAAGTTTTTAAAATTAAAGAGCCATGATTTATCAAGTTATGGATAGCTGTGTTTTAGGTGTACAATAATTCAACGTTAGTCCCCCCATCAGTGTCAGCTTCCCTCCATCAGATTTCCCCTACACTTCAACCCCAACTCCACCCCCGTCTGTCAATTTGACAGGCACATTACAAAGTTTCAGTGGTTGTCGCTTAGATTTCATGTTTTCAGAATTGTCGAATCAGATTTTTGGACATATGGCTATAGCCCTCACTCATATCAGTGGTGTTACTGAAGCCCTCATGTCTTCTTTCCACTTTGGTTTCTTTCCTTCTCTGTCAGTCTCCTCTCTAAACACTGGGGTCAAGGATTATCAACACATACCCCTTTTACTACAATACATTTCCTCATCCAGAGAAAAACTATTTTAATATGTTAGTAATTTTACTTATTGATCAAAAGAATCATTGAAAGGAGTTGTATTTTTTAAAAAATAGATAAAATATATAGTAATAATAAAAGTCATGTACTACCCAGTAGATACCTTGATTACTTACTTTGCTCTTTTGCTTTTCTGGAAAGATAATCTGAGATAGAATTTGCTCATATTCAAAAAAGTAAGAGAACCAAATTTCAGGATATTTAAATGTGATAGGTACTTTAATTTGCCACATACTGTCCTAAATATGAGCAAAATTAGGAAAATACATCATTATTTAAATGTTTTATACAACTATAGATTGTGCTAAAATATGTTTTATGTAATTTTACATAAATTGTGTCAAATATTTGTATTTACATTGTGTTAACTATATATTTTCCCTTGAAATTATAGGCACAGTATATCTTGATTCATCAGGCCTTGGTGGAGTACAATCAGTTTGGGGAAACGGAAGTGAGCTTGTCTGAATTGCATTCATATTTGTATAACACCAAGAAAAGAGACCCTCCCAGTGATCCATCTCCTCTGGAAGCTGAATTTCAGGTAACAGTCATGGTAGCAATAATAATTAGATTGTATTTAACTGAATCCTATCGATTTTAAATCACCATGCTATGCCCTTGACATTGTTCTACAAAGAGGCCTCACCATGGCCTATATAGCATAGATCAGGAAATCGAGACACTCAGAGTTCAAGAGAAATGCCTGAAATCATATAACAGCTATGAAGAAAATTTGTTTAATTCAGAGATTTCTGATCCTATACTCAATACTTCCAACCAGTCCTCATTAAGCTTATATAAAATAAAAGTGTCAAAATAATAGTACAGAGCCACAAAATTGGCCTGCCAAAGGCAATGTAGCATCACACCTTTAAGAACTACACCTGGTTTTGGTTTGTAAAGGAAATCATTAGAGGAGTTTATGATTATTTAGGAAGTTGAACTGGCTGGAGCTGGTAGACAGAAACTAAAGGATATATACACACATCTTAACGTATTTATTTGGCAATTACTCTGAAAGTTAACCTGAGACATAGTCCTCTGTGATTTCAGAGAGTTGGCATAGCCGCCTCAAAAAACTCAGTTGTCCAAAAAAGTGTTCTGCAACTTTTACTTATGGTTTCTGGTTTAGCAGGCTTTTATTTTTGTAAAGAAATTAATTGATTCAGGGAGTTTCACAAGGCTAGAAATGCGTTTTTAATCAGATAAGAAATTTTAGTGTTTGGGATCAAAGTGGGATTGGGGTGAGGAATGGAGGTAGAACATGCAATAATCTCCAAGTAACGTGTTCCACTTGAGGGTATGGAAAAGCTGTACTATAGTAGATAGTAGGTTCCAAGGTATTTCTTAAACAGAGAGGTTAAAATCCATTGTTCCTTTAGCTGATACTTTAATCATATACATTATACTAACCCTACTATACTTCATATACACACGCACTGTTTGAAAGTACTTATTTAACCATTGATATGTGTAAGACTAAAATAAAAGGTAAAGTCTTTGGTAAATGTGAATAAATTTCTACAGTGCAAATTACAAGTCCAGTTACAAGAGTGAATAGAGGTATAGATTGGTTGGCATATTTTCTGATGAGAATTTGTGTTGTACCCTAATTCCTTTTTTTCTAAAGAAATCACTGATGCACAATCATCAGAAAAGTATAGGCAAAGAAAAGTAGAAAAAAGAACTTTGGTAGAAGTAAGGGGAAAATATGAAACAGTTAAAAAAGAAAAAGAAAAAAGACAAATCTTCAGTAGGTAAAGCTAGTAGAATTACTAGAAATTGTTTTCTGGGTAATTTAAAATTTATTATGATGAATTTTGGGGGAAGCCAACCAGTTTGCTTTGTTTTCTCCATCAAGACTGAGCACTCCAGAGATACATGCTTTGCATGCAGATGGATGGGTTATACCCATCTATAACTTGTCACAATAGCTACTTGAAAGTCAGGAGGCATTCCTTTGAGAGTTGGTCAGATTTCAAATTTGTCAAATTGAGGGTATTTTCCATTCTTAAATGGATAAGAAAGAATGAATTGGTTGCAGAAAGACATGATTCCACAGAGATAGTAGAAATGATGAAATGCTTGGGTAGAATGATAGACCACCAGGTGGAAGATTGAAATCATTATAATGTCTGGAAAGAATAGAAGTATTTTTCAATATTAGGGGTTTGGTTACTTTTAAGATGGTAGAGAGTTTATAATGAAACCTACAAAGGTCAGATGATTAAAGTGTGTGGGGGGAGCTGAAAAGTGGGAGAAAAATTAGTAGGAGGTAAAGAAGCTAAGAAGTCAAAATGCTAGAGTGTTGGAGAAATCATGTCACCATATTTAAGTGCCCAAAAATGATGGCATGCCATGAAAAGAGCACAGAGTTAAATTCAAAAGCGAAATGAGATAGAGTGATCCAGAAATTGTTTCCCAACTGTCGAAGTTCTTCCTGTCACAGCTTCCTGCCTATCTTGGCTGCTGGGCTCCTGTGGGGAAAGAGGACCGACACCTGTAGTGTCTGTAAAGCTTGCTCTTCCACATCTGCACTAGCTGAGAGAAATCCTGTGACACCTTGTGACACTAGCCCATGTAACCAAAGAATTCACCTTCCTCTTTCCTATCTCCTGATTCTGATGTAATGCATCCCTTTCTGCCTCTATATATAACCATTATCCTCCCCAATAAAATTTGTCATATGACTATGAGTCTGTGGCCTGTCTTGAGTGACTTTGTCTCAGCTGTGGTGCATGCACAAACCTTTGAGTATTCAGTGCCTTAGGTGCCAGAAAACTGTTTCATGTTTCCAGGATTATTGGATGGAGACTGGATTATCAAAGTAGTTAGGGATCTTTGAAAGAGAAAAGAGGAATGGTTTGCTACTAGAAGAGAACTAGAAATAAAGTGAACACATACATTTTCTTTGAATTATGAGGTTCAAGGAGCATGAAAAGGGAAATCAGATTTGGGTTTTTTTGATTTTAAAGTTGTAGCATTTTTGGTGGGCTGGCGTGATAGCACAGCGGGTAGGGCCTTGCACATGACTGACCTGATTCAATTCCTCCTCCCCTCTCGGAGAGCCCGGTTAACTATTGAGAGTATCCTGCCCTCACAGCAGAGCCTGTCAAGCTACCCGTGACGTATTTGATATGCCAAAAACAGTAACAAGTCTCACAATGAAGATGTTACTGGTGCCCGCTCGAGCAAATCGATGAACAACAGGACAGTGCTACAGTGCTACAACATTTTTGGTGGTCCTACTTTGTGTTCCCTTCTTCAATCTACCCCACCCTTTCTAAAGTAATTGAGAGGATAATTGGGGAGAAATAATTAGGATGGATGAGATGTTGCTGACAACATTCTATAAGCATTAGACAAAGAGACGAGGGCACTGATTGAGCATATATAGAACTCTGGGGCATGTGGTTGAAGCGGAAGCCTTATATTTGACTTAGGCAGAAATAATCAGATTTCAGATGTAAAGAAAATTCTTTGTATTTTAGGTAGAGGTAAGATACTAGTTTCCTCTTAGTTCTAGGTACAAGATAGAGGGCAGTGACCACTTGGGGACCATTTTCATTAGAGCAAAGCATTTGGGGATGCTTTCCAAAAGTTGCTTATGCTGGTGTTCAAGTGACTTGATATTCAGTTAGAGGTTTGGTTTCATTATGTTACATGCAATAAAGGGGGGTTGACAAGATGCTATGTTGAATTTGAGAGAGGACACCGCCTTTTAAATGCACACATATACATGTGTATACAATAATAATGAAATATGCATGATACATTTTCTGAGTTTTGTTTATTCATGCACTTAGTATGCATAGCTTTAAGTTATTCATTGGAAAGCGAATAATTCAATGTGAGAGCTCTCTCAGAAGAAAATGGCATTAAGGCTGATACTTATAGGGCAAGTAGAAGTTACAAGAGTGAGACAAAGAAGGAAAGGTTAGGCCAGGCAGAGCATGCATGTGAGACTCCCATGAATCAAAGGGACCATTTGATTCCTTCTAATAACTGGAGAGGTTGGTTTGGCTCAAGTGCAGAGACCTCTGCATAAGATGAAATGGAAAGGACAATCAGCAGCACATTTTGTGGCTTGTACCATATGTGGAAGAAAGGGTAGATGCTTCTGAATAACATGGACATTGTTGAGGAGCCTCTGAGGAACAAACTGTTTTGTTTTAGCAGCAACAGAACGCATGAGTTGGCAGATAAAGATACTGGTTCAGATGCTGTTGATGTTTCTCATTGAAAAATAAATGTGGACTGGAACTAGTTGAAAAATAAAAAGTCAGGGGCTGGAGCAATAGCACAGTGGGTAGTTTGACTTGCACGCGGCTGACCCGGGTTCAATTCCCAGCATCCCATATGGTCCCCCAAGCACTGCCAGGAGTAATGCCTGAGTGCATGAGCCAGGAGTAACCCCTGTGCATTGCTGGGTGTGACCCAAAAAGAAAAAAAAGTCAAACATGGCAGGTTCTTGAGTAATTTTTTAAAAATTATTATGGCATGATAGTCATGAGAAATAAACAACCCCAAACAGTGCTGAAGGAAGCACAGCATTATTGGATGACTTGCTTTCATATGTCTTTTCACTAAAGACACAATGTCCAAGAACCCATTATTGATAAGTGAGAATTTGCTTGGAAAGAATTTGAGAATTTCCCCTATATGGAGTGCTCATTCCCTGTGAGCTACTGTGAAAGGAAAAGTTGCCTCCAAGGAGCAACATTTTGCCAGATCTCCTATTCACAATGTATTTGTAGAGTTTATTTCTGATTATTTAGAATAATGTATTTGTTATTTTTCAATATAAATAATGATCAATATCTGTTTAATGCTTTCATCTTATGTAAGGCCAGACTACACTATTTTTCTATCACCTCTGAAGTCAGAAGCATATTCTGTAGTACAGCTGTTTATGTTTAGTTCAAACCTAATACACCTAAGTATTAAGTAAAAGAACATTCTTAGAGGTAAATCTAAAAATTATAACTTCTATAAAATATACACAGATAGTATACAACTTGGTCCAATACTTTTATTTAAAGATTATCTTATGTAACAATGAGGAACAAAGCCAAAAATTATGTTTTGAACATATTTTTCCACTGTAATTTTTTTCTCCCTCAGAGACTTCCTACGTATAGGAACTGGAGGACGCAGCACACTGGGAATCAAGAAGAAAACAAAAATAAAAACAGAAATTCTTATGTCATTCCATGTATGTAATTTATTTAACTTTTTGTATTCAATAAAGTTAAGCTGCCTTGTGGATTTGTCTCATGTGAAGCACACAAATAAAAGATCTGTAAGCTTCTTTTCAACATATGGTTGACACTAGATAACAGCTAATACTGTTCTCTACTTATTAGTTATAACAAATATTTTGTGCCCCAAATGTGTACAATGGACTTTAGGAAGTAAACCAAATCCAGTATTTTCTTTCTACCAAATATTTCAGAAACAAGAAAACTTTGAAACTAGGTGGGAATAAACTGAGTCTTTTCTGATAGTTCTCTCTGTTAATTTTAGTTTATTCTGTTTGTTTCATCTTTAGTTTATTTAAGTTATTTACTCAAGGGAATTTGCCAAATAGCTAATTTTACATACTGTTGTTATTTGTTTTTTACTCTGAAATTTCTTGTATTTGGTAGTTGATATAACTGGAAAATATTCTGTAAAAACTGCCAAACAGATCTAGATCAAAATAGAAAACAGTTATGAGGCTTGAATTTTGTTACTTACGCATAGTTATAGGTCCACTCTAATTTTATTTGCTTGTATGCACTAAAATTAGCTTGGAGAAAATATAATTTGACTTAATAAACTAGATTTGCTCGAGCGGGCCCAGTAACGTCTCCATTGGAGACTTTGTTGTTACTGTGTCTGGCATATCGAATACTCTCGGTAGCTTGCCGGGCTCTCCGAGAGGGGCGGAGGAAATAAACTAGATAATAAAACAAATGAGATTTTGTTGGCTTAGTTAATTTCTGAAAAAGTCCATACAAATAAAGGTCAACATAGGGAATGTCTATGCAGCTAATCATCATGTTATTATAAATTTAAAAAGTTTATATATGGTGATAATTTATAGATTAAATATTTTATTGATTACATATTAGCCTAATATAATCCAAATTGGTTTGTTGTTATAAAATGCAAAACTTAGATTTTACTTAAGCACATTAATATTTAAACCTATGTATGTGTTTTAAATTATACGTTAATCAGAACAATTATATTCCATGGAAGATTAAATATAACAAGAATTGAATAATATATGGATTGCTATTGTCTTTATTTATTGTACACTATGGTCTAGTTTTTGAGGGGTGAATCCCTTTGGGGACTTTTTTCCTTATAAGTAATTTTTATAAATGTATTTCTCAATGACTGAATTTTATGTAGACCCGTGTTGCGCATATATCAATTTACATAATATAATCTATCATTTATAAACTATTTTATATTAACTATTATTATCTCATTCTTACTTTGGACAAACTGGCAGGCTACTGAATGTAACCTGTCCACACAGCAGAGTCTGGCAAACTCCCCGTGGTGTACCCAATATGCCAAATACCAGTAACAATGATGGGTCTCATTATCCTAACCCTGAAAGAGACTTGAATATGGCACTTTTTAAAAAATCTCAGGACTAGGATGAAGGAGACATTACTGGGGTCTGCTCGAGGCAATCAATGAACAACAGGATGGTCGTGATCTTGATAAACTATTTTTAATTTTGTGACAAAGAAGAAGATATTTTATTTCTTTTTGTTTTGAATTTTGTTTGTTTCTTATCTTGCTTTTTTTTTTTTGTCATTGAGCAATGCATGGCAGTGCTCAGGGATGACTTTGAGTTCGGTACACAGAGATCAGTCACTCCCTGATTTACTCAGAGAATCATATGGTAACAGGGATTGAACTTGGGCTTCTTTTATGCAAACAAGATTACCATCGCTTTGAGTTCTCTCCCCAGTCATAAGATTTGATTTTTTCAAGGAAGGCATGTATTTGGGCATATGATGTCAACAGTGTCAACTTGACAGATGATAACATGTAAAATTTGTCGTCTCAGATATACTAAATGCATACATATCCTGGTCACATGAGAAGGTAAAATTACTGTCAACTTATTTTAACAGATGACTTTAACAGAGTGCCTCTTAAGCATGAACTGGAAATGAGCAAAGAGAGTGAACAGGAGTCAGATGAGTCTTCTGATGATGACAGTGACTCAGAGGAAACCAGCAAGTACATCAATGCATCTTTTATAATGGTAGGTATTAAGTGTCCAAAGTACAAGGCCTAACTTTAACATCTATATAGTCACAAGCTTATACATATATACATATGTATCTTCCTTTATGTGAAGAAAAATAATTATCTGTTCCAACATATCTCAAAATCACAATTCTCTTCCATTTTGTTAATGTTTTACCTAATAGAACGGGGCTTTGACATCCTCTCCTAAAAATAAAGAGGTTGGTCAAACTGTTTTAATTGCTGTCACCAACATGAAAATAAATGAACAAGCCTCAGGGATTTTCTAAATTATATTTTGTACTTACTACAACGTCCAAATGCATGTATTTGAGAGTTTGTGGTCCACAAAATCAATTTAATGAATGATAACATGCAAAATCTCTCTCAGATATACTGAATGCATGCATACTCAAGCTACATGAAAAAGTAAAATTACTTTCCAACATATATTTTGAAAAAAGAAAAAAATGTTTTATGAGTATTCATTGATTTGACAAAAGAATGAAGATCTTGACTAAAGATATATGATAAAGATATATATAAAGATTTATTGACATGACAGCTTCAATTTCTTATGATATATTTTAACTTATATGAATATTTGAGCATATTAAAATCAAAGTCATAATTTATTACAAATTTGGTTATAATTATATTGATTTCTAAAATCATAAAATTTGAGCAAATATAAAAAGCAATGTATTTTTAGAAGGGGAGATCATAATTTTGCAAGATAATGATGTGATTTTATATCAGCTAAACATATTTATTAAAGTATTTTATATATAGACATTATTTCTTCAGCTAAGAGTCACAATAATTTGTCTAATAACACTGATTTCAAAGTAAATAACTATCTTCAAATGTTTAATAATTCAATCCTCAGTTGTAATAACAAAGTCCCATTATTTTTAAGAGCTATTGGAAACCTGAAATGATGATTGCTACTCAGGGACCTCTGAAAGACACCATTGGTGACTTTTGGGAGATGATATTCCAAAGAAAAGTCAAAATTATTGCTATGCTGACAGATTTGAAGAATGGAGACCAGGTTTGTATTCTCCCATCCACAAATTTTTACTGAGATATAATGATTTACAGTACTATTAACCATGGTTTCAGGCATACAGCCTTCTAATACCACACCCACCACCAGAGTGTCTATGTCTCTGCTAAAAAATACAACAGTGTTTCTTTTGATTTTTTTTCAAAAGAATTCTTTAGGCTCATATTTAAGTTTTAGTCATCAAACACAACATAATTGAAACACTGATAAGTAAAATGCTAACATACCCTTTTATTGTCATATTTTTATGTTTTCCAAACTTTCCTATTTTGAACAAGAATGTTTTCTGGTTAAATCATTGTAACATACCATTTGTATTTTAATCATTGAGTATTAATTTACTGAAATTTCCTTTATTTAAATGCACACCTTCTCCCCATTTTGGTCTTATTATTTTAGCAGAACAGAACTAAAATATTTACCTAAATCTTTAATTCTTAACAATTTTATGTTTGTTATCATGAAATTCTACAGCTGAAGGTAAAACTCATAAGTAATTTGGACTGCTTGATGCCTGTGATATACATTTTATCATTCCTTAATATCTTGAGTTACCCAATTTCCCCCGTAGTAAGTCTTACTTAGTTATACCATTTGATACCCAATATGACTAATGTTAAAGCTTGAAGCCATCCTTTGTATGCAGTTATACTGCAGGGCCTCTTTTTCTCTTCACCCTGTTCCTTACCCTTGTACATAGGAAGGTGGCTTTGTTTTGATGTTTGTTGATAATTATAATGATGATGGTATTTTAAGAACTCTATATTAGATTTCCAGCATGAAAATTATGAAAACCAGGAACTGGATCAGGAATATTGGCAGGATTGCCAACACTTAGGCAATAATAGTTTTTGCCAAACTTCCAGAGGGAGGAAATACTTGAGTAATTAACCTACTCTTTAATCTGACCTTTTATCTTTAACTTAAATTAGCTCTGAGATAAAGATGTTTATGATTTTGCTCATCAAGTTTAAAGACAAAGCTCCAAGAATGAAATCTCCGTTCCTCAAATACCACTTGAAGGACAATGCAATGTTGTAGCACTGTCCTTCCATTGTTCCTCGATTTGCTCGAGCTGGCACCAGGAACGTCTCCATTGTGAGACTTGTTGTTAATGTTATTGGAATATTGAATATGCCACGGGGAGCTTGCCAGGATCTGCCATGTGGGCGGGATACTCTCAGTAGCTTGCCAGGCTCTCCAAGAGGAATAACAGAATTGAACCCGGATCAACTGCGTGCAAGGCAAATGCCCTACCCATTGTGCTATCGAGCCCGAGTCCTTAGCAGACATCAGCTCAAAAACTATGTAGAAGTTTCTGATCCATGTGTTTTTGTATCTAGGAATACTGTGCTCAGTACTGGGTAGAAGGAAAGCAAACATATGGAGAAATAGAAGTCAATATGAAAGACACGAACAAGTATTCAGCTTACACCATCCGTGTCTTTGAACTTACACATTCCAAGGTATATAAACAATTTCGTATGTATAAATCTTTTATGTAATTTGTCCTATTCAAAAATATAACATCAATTACTATGAATGCAATGTAACTCTTACAAACAATGCTGTTTTAATGATTTAAGTGAAGTAACTGTGAAAAAAATGTGACTAGAAAATTTTGGGTTGAGCCTCCCTAAGTTTATGTATCCTTCACTTGCGGATTTAGAAGAAAGACTGCCGAACTGTGTACCAGTACCAATATAATAAGTGGAGTGCAGAAGAACTTCCCACAGAACCCAAAGACCTAATCTCTATGATACAGAATCTCAAGGAAAAACTTCCCAAAAATAGTTCCACCGAAGGGACTAGGAGTCACAAGAATGTGCCTCTCCTCGTTCATTGCAGGTAGGTAGGATTTCGTAGGAGACGCTCTAAAAAACATAAAAATTTGGTTTTGTTTGAAACATTCTGTTAGGTTCTATTTACCCTGATTTATTGAATATATAATTTGTTGTAAATACCTTGTGAAGTCACTCTCAGTTATGCACCCATAAAATAATTCTTACAGAAATATGAATGATATGTGCTATCATGTAATAATTTTAGATTGTGAATTTTTTAATGTAAACTCCATGTCATATTTATTTATTCATTTATTTATTTTGCTTTTTGGGTTACACCCAGTGATGCACAGGGGTTATCCTGGCTCTGCTCAGGAATTACCCCTGGCAGTGCTCAGGGGTACCATATGGTATGCTGCAAATCAAACCCAGCCGGCCGCATGCAAGGCAAACACTCTACCTGTGGTGCTATTGCTCCAGCCCCTCCATGTCATTCTTGACTCCACAGTACCTGTCTTTGAACCTCAGTATCTTATGCATAAACAAGTCAATGAATATCAGGCTGGATGCATAAATGTAGATATGACTATTATACTTCACTTGTGCCTCAGTCAACTCTATCAAGGATTATTAGAGTCCATAGAGCTAAAGGCTATGCCTACATACCTTAAATTATATATAAGCTAAACTATCAATGCTTAGCAACTTTGATTTGAAATATATTATACAACATTGTAAATAAAAATATTCTGAAATATATATATAGTAATACTTAATTTTATAGTTTCCTCTTTGTAGACCCTTAAATTTTATCTATAGCTGATGCCTACATGTCTTCCTTAAACAAAACTTAATAAAAAAGCAGTTAATAATACAAAATGTTTGAATAAAATATTAAATTAAAACAGTAAAACAAACCATAAACTTATTATTTACAAAACCTCATTATTTTTAATATAATTGCATACACTCACATCAAAGCCTTGAGTCCTAAGTTTTCAAAGGAAATTACCTATGGAAGTGAGATGTAGGCTTTTAAAACTATATGTTTTTGATAAAAAAAAAAAACTATATGTTTTTCATTATTTGATTGAATACCTACTCTATGTTCCTTAGTTATGTGCCGTAATAAGCCTATTTTAAAGACATAATTATTGTAACTCTAAACAGTTCAGTAAATCACTTAATGACTCTCTTTTTTACTGAATGATAATAAAGATAGTTTTATGTTGATGCTAATGCATAAGTATATGTAAAAGGCAGTGGCTAAGAGAAATAAAGAGAAAAATGTATGTTATCTAGAAATTTACAAAATGTCAGGCCCAGTATTGCTGGTTTCACCCATTTCTAGCCATGCTTTCATCTTTCTCTGATCTTGGAGCAAGATTATGTACCAAACTAGCATGCTGATGTCTGTCCTTACAATTCCAGTTCAAAACTTTAAAATGTGTTCAAATCTGCGAGTAGACAGAACAAAGCACATGTTTAAAACCTAAAACTAGTAATTTGTAGACCATAGAATTATTAGACATTCAAATTGAACAACTTTGCCTAAAGAATTCATTGGGTAGGAATTTTTTCTTGAAATAATGGAAGGATCTCTTATAGAAGGGCTTAATGGCTCCTTGGTGAAATACAAGAATCTTCCACACTCTTTCCTCTAAGGATACTTTTTGTAGCATTTTTAGTGGTTTTTCATAACAAACAATAAAAAATATATTATTTCAGTTCTGCTTCGGGGCAGGAATCAGAGTTAGGGATGGAAAAATCCTAAATATGGTGGTGTGAAGGTATAACGGTGGTGGGATTGGTCTTCCAATTGTAAATGTAATCAAATATTGTGAAATACTTTATCAAATAAAAAAGTTTTAAAAAAGAATCAAATGAAATACAATAGACATATATTGAAAAATATATCTTAACTCTTTAGTCTAATATCACTTTCTTTATATGATGTAGCATTCTTCTCTTTTTTAATCATTTTTTTCTTTTCTAGAGATGGATCTCAGCAAACAGGAGTATTTTGTGCTTTGTTTAATCTTTTGGATAGTGCAGAAACAGAAGAGGTAATCGATGTCTTTCAAGTAGTAAAATCTCTTCGCAAAGCTAGACCAGGAATGATTCCTTCATTTGTAAGTATCCCTCATCATTGTTTGCGTTTTATTATGATAATTTTATCTTCCTTTTATATTATCTTGCTTCCCTGTCTTTTCATTCACTCCTACTCACACATCTATCATGCTTACCTCCCACTTTTATGTGGTTTATCACATTTGAATATTATTAAATAAAAATGCAAGATCTAGTTAGAATTTGTCAGTGACTTCCTATGGCTGCCTATGAAAAACACAAATCTTCATGAACACTTTACTTCTTCCTCTTTGAACCTTTGATCTTCCTCCTTGAACCATGAACTTGTGTCAGTTTGTGTTCTTGTGTGACAAACCACCACAAAATTTCTCTGAAAAGCAAACCACAGGGGCAAGAGAGATAGCACAGTGGGTGGGGTGTTTGCCCTGCACATGACCCACCCGGGTTCGATTCCTAGCATCCCATATGGTCCCTGAGCACCACCAGGAGTAATTCCCGAGTGCATGAACCAGGATTAACCCCTGTGCATCTCCAAGTGTGACCCAAAAAGCCAAAAAAAAACCAGCAAACCACATAAATTATAGTTGAAGGGTATTTGCTTAGGCCCAGCCAGTGTAGACAAGCCTCACTCCACCTGCCAGTGTTGGTAATTTGTCTTCTGGGGCTTGGTGGTTCTAAAATGATCTTAACTGCCAATAATCAGGTGGTTGGTAGCTGTTGGCGGTGGCGACACCCAACTTCTATCTCTTCTATGTCTTCTATCTCTTCCTGGCATCACACACAGTGAGAGAGTTCCAAAAATAGAGGGGTCTGCAAGAACTCACAAGACACAGAGGTGGAACAGACATGTGTCTTCCCCTGCCTTTTAGTATTGAAACAATTCACATGACCAGGTCAAAGAGAAGGGGTGAGGAAATGGACTCTAACTCTTATAGAAAGAGCCTGCTAAGAGATTGGATACAGAGAGGAGAGTAAGAGTGGTATTTTCACAATCAAATATTTATCATCTGTACATGACTATAATAAACTTATTTTTCATAATCACTGTCACTGTTCTCCCGTTGTTCATTGATTTTCTTGAGCGGGCGCAGCAATGTCTCTGTTGTGAGGCTTTGTTGTTACTGTTTTGGGCATATCAAATATGCGGGGAAGATACTCTCAGTAGCTTGCTGGACTCTCCCAGAGGGGCGGAGGAATCGAACTCAGGTCTGCCAAGATGGTTGCGTGCAAGGCAACCGCCCTACCCGCTGTGCTATGGCTCCAGTCCATTTTTCATAATATGTAGCTTTACTTGTGTCTGGCTTTGGGATCATATATACTGACTTTTAAAAATCATTGAGGCTGAAGAGATAGTACAGGTGGTAAGACGCTTGCTTGTTAACAACAGTTTGATCCCAATCTTCCATATGGTGCCCAAGCATCACCAGGAATCAGAAGTCACCTCCAGCACTGTGAGGTATGACCCGCTCCGCAAAACAAAAATGAGCAAATATACATTGATCGTCCAAATATCTGGGTAGGGTGGGTCTCCTGTGCACAATTCGATCCCTGGGTGGTTGATGGAAGCAGACAGGGCAGGGTAGGGTGGGGCTCCTAATTAGAATCCCTTTGTCACCTGTGGTGGTGGGAGCAAGCAGAGAAGCTCTGTCCCTGGGTCCGCCGAGCCTGAAGTCCAAGGTCTCAGAGAGTTCCGCTTACCTTGTTCTGTGGGTCTTCAGTTGTGCGTGGGTCTCGGCCGGAGCTGGCAGACTTCCACTCTCGACACTACTTCCACTACCCAGCCGTCGCCACACTCCAGGACGCTTTCCGGACCCGCGCGGCCGCAAGCGGCCGCGCGACACATCATAAGACACTAAATACCCGTCTTCTGGAATTGTCGTACCATATTTGATAGGGTTCAAATATGGTAACACCTACAAGGGTGATTAGAGGTCACCCCAAAAGCCTCTATACCTCTCGGAAAGACTGGCAAGCTACCGAGAGTATTCCGCCCGCACGGAAGAGCCTGGCAAGCTATCCGCTGTGTATTCGATATGCCAAAACCAGTAACTACAACTGGTCTCATTCACCTGACCCTGAAGGCTTCACCGACATGGCAGCACTGAGAAGGATGAGAAAGGAGAGGCCGACAAAATCTCAAGGCCGACCTAGGCTGCCACAACGAAGGAAGACAAAAATGATCGTCTGTACTTTCAATGCACGTACGCTAGCATCAGATGCATCCATCGAGGACCTGATGGTACAAGCGCGAATGATCAAGTACGACATCATTGGTCTGACCGAGACAAGAAGACACGAATCTCACCATGCCGTTTTCGACACTGGAGAAGAATTGTTCCTCGGAACATGCGATAAAAGAGGTGTTGGAGGCGTCGGTGTCCTTGTCAACACAAACTTGGCCAAGAGCATTGATTCATTCGAATGCCTAACAACCCGAATCGGACGTTTACATTTGAATAGATGTGGCTCACTGCCTGCAGTTTCTATCTTCGTTGTCTACGCACCAACATCTCATTATGATGAAAGAGAAATCGAGAAGTTCTACATGGAGCTAGAGAAGTTCTATAAAGAAGACCACACCTTCTACAAGATCATTGTGGGTGATTTTAATGCCAAGATAGGACCGAGAAGATCAGCTGAAGAACTTCACATCGGGACCCATGGCCTAGAATGGAACGAACAGGGTGAGAGACTGTCTGAGTTCATCATGTCGACCAAGACCATTCATGGTAACTCACAGTTCCAGAAGGCAGAATCTAAACGATGGACATGGGAGTCTCCCGGTGGACGATTCCACAACGAAATAGACCACATCATATTCAATCGACGGTTTTGCCTGACTGATGTCGCTGTTGTCCCAAAATTTCGAACGGGATCGGACCACCGTCTCCTTCGTGCAAAATTCTACTTCACAGAGCGGGGAGAAAGGGCTGCAAAGTTCAAAAAGAGAACTCCCAGAACGACCACCAACTGGGAACTCTTTGGTACTATTGCGGCAACATGGGAAGATGCCATTGTTGACAACATTGACGAGGAATACGATCGACTGGTTCAGCACCTCCATGAATGTGCGAGGAACGCCAAGAGAGAGATAGCCACAAAAAGTCGCCTATCTTCGAAAACTCTTGAGCTAATTCGCCAGCGTGGTTTGGCGCATGCCTCAGGCAACCGCAAGCTAACGTCCGAGGTTGCAAAGCAGTGCAGAGATGCGATCAAGGAAGACCTCAAAGAGAGAAGAGCAGAAGTACTGGTAGATGCGGCAGAAGCCGGGAAAAGTATTCGTAACGCCCGCCTGTCCTTCGCCAACTATAAGACCAAGATGACTGCCCTCCGACGTCCTGATGGATCCATCACATCCTCCAGAACGGCAATGGAGAAGATTATCCATGACTTCTACTCAAATCTCTTCGATAGCCATGTCCACTTGCCGACATACCAAATTCCACAGGATGGGTATGTCGTTCCCAACGTTCTCCCTTCCGAAATCAGACACGCCATTTCGTCAGTAAAGAAGCAAACAGCACCCGGCCCAGACAAGGTCAGACCTGAACACCTGAAGAACCTGCCGTCAGTACTCATCAATACACTGGCTCGGCTCTTCACTCGCTACCTGTCTGAATGCAAGGTTCCATCTCAATGGAAAACCAGCAGGACCGTACTACTGTTCAAGAAGGGAGACATCCATGACATTGGCAACTATCGCCCGATCTGCCTATTGTCTGTCATCTACAAGTTGTTCACTCGAGTCATCCTGAATAGGATTGGCAGAACACTAGATGAAGGACAACCATGTGAGCAAGCAGGGTTCCGCAAAGGATTCAGCACCATCGACCATATCCACACGATAACCAAACTCATTGAGGTTTCTCGGGAGTTCAAGATGCCGCTCTGCTTAACGTTCATTGATTTAAAGAAGGCCTTTGATTCTGTTGAGACGGAAGCGGTCATTGAAGCTCTAGCCAATCAGGGCATTCAAGCCCAATACATCAGGATCCTCCTTGAGCTGTATTGCGGATTCACTACCAGGATCTCACCATTCTACAAAGAAGTGATCGTTGATGTCAAGAGAGGGGTGCGGCAGGGTGATACCATTTCACCAAAACTCTTCAGTGCCACCCTCGAGAACATCATGCGACGACTGGAATGGGAAGGAATGGGAGTGAAGATAGATGGTCGGCAACTACACCACCTCCGCTTTGCTGATGACATTGTTTTAATAACACCAAACATCAGCCAAGCGGCACAAATGCTGGCCGACTTTGACCGTGAGTGTGGAAAGGTAGGACTACAGCTGAATCTTACGAAGACAATGTTTATGAGAAACAGCCTTGTTCCTGACGCCCCATTCGCTCTCAATGGAACGACCATCTCCGAATGCAACAGCTATGTGTACCTAGGTCGAGAGGTCAACATGACAAATGACCTGGCACCCGAGCTGCGCAGGAGGAAGAGAGCGGCTTGGAACGCCTTCAAGAACGTCGAAGAAATAGCTAAGAGGACAAAGAACCTCCGGCTCCGGGCACATCTCTTTGATTCCACTGTTCTTCCTGCATTAACATATGCCTCAGAGACCTGGGCCCTACGCAAACAAGATGAGAACGCCATTCAGGTCTCCCAAAGAAGAATAGAAAGAGCTATGCTTGGAATATCACGTTTCACTCAAATGAGAGAACGAATCCGGAGTTCTGACATCCGTCGACGATCAAGGATCAGGGACGCTGTCTCATTTGCCAAGGTGTCGAAAATCAGATGGGCTGGTCACGTAATGAGATTTAAAGACGACCGTTGGACTAGAACTGTTACTGATTGGATTCCACGGGATGTCAAGAGACCGCGTGGCCGCCCACCTACCAGATGGTCAGACTTCTTTGTCAAGGTCATGAACGATCGGTTTGAGGCCCTCCATGTTCCCGGAGCGAAGAGATGCCATTGGGCTACACTAGCACGCGACAGGGACAAATGGAGACGTTACTGGCGCCCGCTCGAGCAAATCGACGACTAACGGGAAGTTAAGTGATTAAGTGTGATTAAGTCCAAATATGCTACCCTACTGGGAGACTCTGTTTAGTTTCAGGAAAAGGCAGGCATTCATGAAATTGTACAGGATTGAAAAGGACAAAAGAATGATAAGAAGAGTTCTTACTTGAACCTATAGGGATAAGGATAGGTTTCTTAAAGAAGGAAACTCCTATTCCTCTATTTATGATTTTTTATTGGTATTTTCTAAGAGAAGACTCATGTGAAATGGCATTCTGGGAAAATACATAGTAATGAAACATGCCATGACTTTGCATGGGAAAGCATGGCAGTGTGGTGTATGGTAAACTTTGAGGAGCACCCTTCACTCTTAGAATGTCAAGCTATGACAGCTTTGGAATTATAGAACCTTGGGACTGTAAAAAGTAGCAGCTATTTAAAATGCTATTTTTAGAAAAACAGGTAAGCATTGGGTTCTGTTATTTGGGATTCACACAGGAAATGATGAGTTCTTGATATTTATCCAACATAAAAATATAAATAATAAAACAAACTTTCCTTATGTCATTTTTTCCTTTTATTTTCATAGGAGCAATACCAATTTCTCTATGATGCTATGGCTAGTCTTTATCCTCCACAGAATGGACAAATAAAAGAAAACAATAATAAAGAAGATAAAATTCAGTTTGATAATGAAGTGGACAAAGTAAAGCAAGATGCTAATTGTGTCAGTCCACTCAGCAAGACAGAGAAGGACCATGAAGAAAAAAAGGAAGATGAAGTTTCCAAACCCACAAATGACACTGAGGGACCAGAACATTCTGCCAATGGCCCAGCCAGTCATACTTTTACCCAAAGTGCATAGGAAAAGCCAGAAAAAGAAAAACTTACGTTATGTGTTACTCTTAATTTTCTAGAAATAGGAAGACAAAATTGATAAGTGGTGATTGAAGGACATTGGATGAATATCTGTGCAAAAATTCTATTTTACTATAAAAAATATTTAAGTTTTGCTAAAACATGTTGTACAGTTATGCTTAGTTTTTTTTTTAATTTTATCTATCCTTCAGCAAAAATAAACTTCTTTGGAGTCTTTACATATGTGTGAGAGAGAAGAAAACGAGTAACAGAGAAAAAGAGAGTACCATTCAATAAATTGTTTCTGGGAAACTGCTTTTTGAAGCCAAAGATTATACTGGAATTACTGAATCTATTACTTAGTTTGCAGAATCTATTTTTTTAAATCAGAAGTTACTATGTGTCCTATAGGTAAGAATAGTATGTACATGTCCAGAATGACCTCAAGAAACCATTCATGTTCTGTTCATATAGAGCTTAGAGTATATTATTTTACCTTTAGAAATAGGAATAAGAGTAGTATGGTACATATAGTTAGTATAAGTTAACTAAATTAACAGTTGGAAACCAGATTTGATCTATAAACATTTAGTCCATCATCTTTTCAAGTTTATTTAATCTAATTTAAAAATCTTAAGCTGTACTATCTTATTTTATGTGATGTTTACAATTTTGCATGAATTATTCTATGCCCGATATGTGAAAGTCATCTCTAGTTGCTTTGACCAAAAAATGTATGTTTGTTTCAGTTGAATTTATATAAACATCCTTAATAAAGTGCAGAATATTTTAAGTTCATAGGAATGAATGTGGAATATATGTGAAATCTAATAAAACTACTTTTGTGGACCATAAATTGATCTGAGAAATATATTACACTTTTGTATGTTCCCTATTAAAGTTTCTCCTAGACCTTCATTGGTGTGGTTTGTTTTAGTTTTAATTTTTTAAAATACACTGCTTTGCCAGCAATTGCTTTCAGTGATCATAATAAAATTTAATCTTTATCTTTTATTGTGAAAATATATTTAAATATATTACATAAGCACCTTGGATTATATAAGCACCTTTTAAAATACGTATTAAATGCAATTAAGATTTGTAGTATTTTTTTTGTTTTTGTTTTTGAAGTCACACTGGTTGTTATGAGTATGACAACCTGAGTAAGTCCTCAGTAGGACTTACTTTTCGCTCTGCATTCAGGCAATATTTCAGGGATCATATGGTAGCTGTGAATTGAACCTGGCTCGGTGATATGCAAGCCAAGCACCCTCCCCCCGTACTATCTCTCTGGCCTGTAGAATGATTTGGAAAGTCTTATTTAGAAAATAGTAAAAAATTATGAAAATGCTCATTTTTAGAAAAATTAATAAAGGAAACTCCTTTGGTAAATTTTACATCAACTAAATGTTACATTAGCTACACATTAAGTTTAGGATAGAAGTTTTCTTTTTTTAATCTTCACTTTATGACTTATTTTAATACCGTAACTGCACATCATCAGTCATTCAATTCACATTTATCTTATGTCTCACCTTCAAATTTTTATTATTATAAACACAAAATTAGCAATTAATCATTGCATTTTTTGCATGGTAGTTTGTTAATGTTTTGAAAGAAGTGTATTTTAAAGTGAAGTGAAATTGCCAATTAATATTAAATTTACTTAGTGACCCTTTACCAATTTGGAAATACTAATTAGAAAAGGAGGATTGAGAAGCGCCAATTATGGGTACCAAAAAGATATCTTTTTTTTGCTTTCTCATTAGTCAGTCAAAATCCCTGTGCTTGATTTCACCAACTAAAACTTGATCAGTTTCATTTACTAATGCAAATAAAACTTAACAGCTCTTATGATGAATAGACAGGTATCTATCCAATAGACAAAATACCTAAAGTGTTTTGTATGACTATTTTATCTGTAAGCTACTTCAAAATATAACCTGAGTTCTAAATTTTAAATAACCTACAAATAAAGTTCATTTTCAGAGGTTTCAGCAAGTAAAACTCATCATAAAATATGTCTATGTGGGGCTGGAGTGACTTCACAGCTGGTAGAGCATTTGCCTCGCAGGTAGCCTGCCCCGGTTTGATTCCCAGCATCCCATTTGGCCCCCTGAACTCCGCCAGGAGTAATTCCTCAGTACGGAGCTAGGAGTAACCCCTGTGCATTGCTGGGTGTGACCCAAAATGCAAAAACAAATATGGCTATGTGATTGAGATGTTAAACTTCCACTGGAGTCTATGTTTTTGAGAAAATTCAAAAAATTAATACTTAGAAAATAGAGCCATGCTAATTTTTATTGTTTAAAGAAGAAAGCTGGATTTCCGGTACTGGACTCCCCCCCGCCTCGCACCCCAATTCCACTCTGTAAATGGACATTATGAATGGAGAGAAATAGAGGCAGGTCAGAAGCCCATGATTCTACAACTATGTACCCACCAGAGTGATACCCTCTGCTAAATTTAGGACATGGGATGTCATGCCTGTGATTTTTGTTCTCACCTAAAAATAGTAAGGAACTTCTAGACACAGTGTATGACTAGATTGCATTCCCAAGAAGAATGTCACAAGATAAGAAGAATACATTTTCTAAAGTTGGCGCTGCCTTTATCAATATGAAAACCTACTCAGAAAAATCAAGCAAAGAAGAAAAATCAACTCAATAAAACCTGGTCTATTTCTAGGGAAAAGTTTATAAATCCCACTGTACATTGCAATTGGCAGAAAAAGTACATAAAATATGTCTTTTGGAATTTTATTTCTTATACCTGGGCTTGAGTGATAGCATAGCGGTAGGGCGTTTGCCTTGCATGCAGCCAGCCCAGCTGAGCCCGGTTCTATTCTTCGGCCCCTCTCGGAGAGCCTGGCAAGTTACCGAGAGTAGCTCACCCGCACGGCAAAGCCTGGCGTATTCAGTATGCCAAACACAGTAACAACAAGTCTCACAATGGAGACGTTACTGGGCCTGCTCAAGCTAATCGATGAACAATCGAAGGACTGTGACTGTGACAATTTCTTATACCAAAATTTAATATGAACAAAATGTCATTCAGCATTTTAAAATATAACTCCCAGAGCTGAATGATAATACAGTAGGTAAGGTGGCTTGACTTGCGCGCCACTAATGGGGGTTCTATCCCAGCACCCCATATGGTCTCCCAGTTCCTACTAGGAAGGATCCCTGAGTGCAGAGCCAGGAGGAAGCCCTGATCAAAAATAAATAACTAATAGTAAATTAAAAATTTTTAGTAAAATTAAAATGTAATTCACGATTAATATTTTGCATAGTAAAAAACTACATATTGGCTGAAAAGAGGAACACCTTTTATTTATTTTACTTTAGGCACCATCATTTACAATTCTCTTAATGGCAGGGTTTTGTGCATAAAATATTGCAGCACCGCTGCCTCCATGCCTTCGACTCACCAGGGTATACCCTGCCCTACACCATTGACTGGGTGTCAGCCCCTTAACCTATCCTATGCACCCCCAACCTCCTGCTGTCTTATGCTTCTTACTGAAGAGCATTTTCAGTTTATGTTGCTTTTGATGGGGCTGGAGTGATAGCACAACAGGTAGGGTGTTTGCCTTGCACGTGGCCAACCCAGGTTCGAGTCCTCCACCCCTCTTGGAGAGCCTGGCAAGCTACCGAGAGTATCCCGCCTGCACGGCAAAGCCCGGCAAGCTCCTTGTGGCGTATTCGATATGCCAAAAACAGTAACAAGTCTCACAATTTGTTGTGAGATGTTACTGGTGCCCGCTTGAGCAAATCGATGAACAATGGGAGGGCAGTACAGTGCAGTGCAGTTGCCTTTGAGCATTTGTTATTTTCTTACTGTGTTTCCTTACATCCCACATGATAAGCAAGACCATTCTGTGCTGTCCTCATTTCTGGTTAACTTTACTCAGCATAGTACTCTCAGGATCCATTCACATAAGAGCAAATTTCATGATTTCATCTTTTCTTATACAGAGTAGTAGCACTGCACTGTCCTCCCATTGTTTGTTGATTTGCTTGAGTCAGTCCAGTAAAGTCTCCATTGTGAAACTTGTTACTGTATTTGGCATATTGAATATGCCTCAGGGAACTTGCCAGGCTCTGCTGTGCTGGCAGGATACTCTCAGTAGCTTGCTGGGCTCTCCAAGACAAACGGAGGAATCGAACCCGGATTGGCTGTGTGCAAGGCAAACACCCTACTGGCTGTGCTATTGCATGGAAGTTTCTTTAATCCCATCATCTGTCCTTGGATACTTGTTTTGTTTCCGGATTTGGGCTACTGTAAATAGTCCTGCTTTGAACATAGGAGAGCAAGAGGTTTTTTGCTGAATAGACTTTTTTTTTTTTTTTTGAGATTTTAGGGTAGATGTCAAGAAGTGGAATTGCTGGGTCATTTTGGAAATTCAATATTTAGTTTTGTGAGAGGGTTTGTATTGTTTTTCAAAATGGTTGGACCAGTCAATACCCACAAGTAATGTGTGAGGGTCTCTTTCTCCCCACATACATGCCAATACTGGTCTCTTTGTTCCTTTTTTAATACATGGCAATATAGCTAATGTGAGATGGTAACTCATTTTTATTTGGATTTCCTGATTATACATTACGTGCAGCATTTTTTATTTTCATATATGTTTTGGCCATCTGGATGTCTTCTTTGTTACATCTCTCCCCTCATTTTTTTTATAGGAGTACTGCTATTTATTCAGCCACTGATTAGCTGATTGAATTGGGCATGAACTCCACCTTAATTTTTATTTATTTATTTATTTATTTTTCTTTTTATATGTATTTATTGAATCACTGTGAGAAAAGTTACCAAGGTTTCAGGTTTCAGTTTCGGTCATACAATGATCAAACACCTTTCCCTTCACCAGTACTCATCTTTCACCACCAAGAACCCCAGTATACTCCCCCTCCCACCCCTCCAAATGCCTGTGAAGCAGATGATTCCGACTTAACTCTTCTCTACATTGATTACATTCATTATTTCAACAAAAGATGCACCATTATTGTTCAGAATTTCCCCCCAAACAATCAGAAATGCTGAAAAGGCATTGTGAAATACTTTGTTTTCTATAGCTGGTTATAAGAATCATATAATGTCACACAGCCACGATTTTGGATTTCTGCAAAGAGCCAGATAATTACGAGATTGGTTTCTGTATGTCTGGTGTTATGGCTGTGCTGGAGAGCCGCTCGTGGGGTGTAACTCGTGACCTCGGTAGGGCGTGAAGGATGTGCCGGTACCACCCGCCCTCCCATAAGACTGCAGTTGCCCCGTCACCACCGGCTCGTACCTGGCTTTCCTATAAGCTCTGAGGTGGCGGCCTCCTTGCTGCCAGGGGGGAAAAAGGCGGAAGGCAGCAACACCCTCTCCCTCCCGGGAAGGCATGGTGCTGTAGTTTAATGCACGGTGCATTCACTTTTCTTCTGCAAGCTGCTGGGCTCTAGACTAAGTCCTTTTGCCTCTGGAGCCATGACCGTGCCAGAGAGCCACTTGTGGGGGGCAACTCATGACCTCAGTAGGGCGTGAAGGACGAGCCGGTACTGCCCCCCTTCCCATGCGACTGCAGTTGCCCCGTCACCACAGGTTCATACCTGGCTTTCCAATAAGCTCTGAGGTGGCGGCCACCTTGTATGCAGTCCAGATGCATTTCTGCCAAAAGCCTCTGGGTTTCAAGATTTGTTTCTGAGTCTCCGGTATCATGGCTATTAATCAGCTTGATCAGGAGCCAGAGAGGCCAATTGTAGGCGACAACTCAGGGTCTCGTTGGGATGGGGAGAAAGAATTGGCTCCACCCCCATGTGGTAAGGCCCCGTGTGTCTTGTCACTGCAGGCCCAAACCTGACTGTCCAGTGGTCTCTGGAGGATGGTGGTCACCGG